GAGCTTCAAGCTCATCTAGGTGTCCAGGAACAGCTGCATTTCCAGCCTGCTTTTTCCTCTGAGCACCCATGCCTGTGAAAGCCCACTCCCACCTTCCACATAGGAGTCAAGACTCTTACCAAATGCTCCCTGCTCTCTAGCCAGTGGAACGTGGCAGTCTGTTCAACAGAGGATTCTCCATAGCTGGTGCCTTTATGCATAAGTGTGTCCCCATCTGTGCCTATCTCCCCCTCCCTACCCCTTTCTCAAGGAAGAGGGGTTCCTCCTCTTAGCTAGGTTCACTTTGTGCTCCTATACTCCAGATCCCATTTAACCAGGCTCTTTGGAGATCTGTGCCTTCAGGAACTGTGCTTCTTTTCTGTATCTCCACGGGAATCAGCATGTAACTCTCTTTTGTCTTGTCTGCACTGACCCGGTTCTTCCAAGCCGAGGGCCCTGTGGCAGCCCCAGCGATTGCCCCTGTTCTTCACATCTGGGCTTCTAGCTGGAGGGATTCTCCCGGCAGGCTCCTTTTCCTTTCCATTCTCTGCATAAGTGACTTCTGTGTCGAAATTCTCACTCCCTTGGCCATAGTTCTACTGAAACTGTTCGTGTTATGATCACCAAATTTCCTGGTTGTTAACTTCACTAATGTGGAGAACATTTCCACTTGTTGGCTTTCTCAACATTTCCCTGAAGTTTGGCATTGTTGACAACTCTCCTGTATTTGAAGCCATCACCTCACCTGGCTCCTATGACACCATCCAGCCCTGGCTCTCCGCCTACCTTTCCAGTGCCTCCTTATTCTCCTTCATGGCCTCCTCTTCTGTATCCAGCTTTAAGATGTTGGAAAGCCTCAGAGCTCCTTCCAAGGACCTGTCTTCTAATTCCCAGCATTTTTAAGGCAATACTACCCATGCCTGTGGCTTCAATCACCCTGCCTCCCTCCTCAGACTCCTGTCTTGAGCTCTAGACTCTCAATGTCTACTACTTCCTGATCTTCTTACCTTTGCCGACAGGCCCCTTAGTTAGCAAGTCAAACACAGAAGACATTGTCTCCCCACCAAACTGGCTCCTCTTCCAAGATCATTATTTCCTCAAAAAAGGCAGAGTGGTCCCCTCTCTACAGCCTGGAAGCTTGGAATGTCCTCCACTTCTCTTTCTTCATTTTCTACATTTAACAGAGTATCATTTCATATCGATTCTATTTTATAAACATAAATACATATATGTGTACATATGATACACACACACACACAGAGTCTCTGTATGTATATTTTATTTCTCCCCTCTCCTCCATGTTTGAATGTCTACTGCTCCACTGGAATGAAAGATTCTATACAGCATGATTATATGTTATTTATCTTTATCTCCCATGCATGTGACAACACTGGGCATATAGTAGATGTTTATTTATTTTTTGAAGATTTTATTTATTTACTTGACAGAGAGAGAGCACAAGCAGGTTGAGCAGCAGGCAGAGAGAGAGAGAGAGAGAGGAAGAAGCAGGCTCCCCACTGAGCAGGGAGCCTAATTTGGGGGATCTCAGGACCCCAGGATTATGACCTGAGCTGAAGGCAGATGTTTAACAGACTAAGCCGCCCAAGGTGCCCCTATAGTGAATGTTTAATAAACATTTGTTTAGTGAATGAATGACTTCTGTAATCTTCTTTCCAGAAGAGCAGACTGAGCATGGTTAACCAATCTTGGACACTTTAGGGAGTTACTATCCCATTTTAGCATAATTGTTGCATATGGGTACATAATTTTTGCTGACATGACAATGACACATTTGGATAGAGTATTGGTTAAAAATAATGTTAGTTGATTTTTTTCTTTAAAAATAACATGTTAATGGTAGGAAAGTTAGGAAATATGGACAAGGAAGAAAAGAGAAATAAAATATCCATAATCCTGTGATCTTGACAAATAATTACTATTAACATATTGACATAGGGCCTCTCAGTCTGTTTTCTAAATTTTTACTTTTAGTAAAGGAATGGGGTCAAGCCTGGGGTATGTCTCAGCCACTGGGCTGTCCCTTGCAAGAGTAAGCAGTCACTAAATCATAGTGCTCACAGCTTCACAGCAAATCTGACCTGGATCTAGGTGGTTGTTCATATCCTTCAGCATTAGTCCGGTGGGGAGAAATTGACTACATTATTAGCACTGATGATACTTACATTACACAGATGTCAAACCAGGGTGGGTACTTATACCCATGTGAAGCAGGAATTCTATCAGTGGCCTGGCATTTGGATGGGGAACAGAGATTAGGAAAGGAAATTCACATAAATTAGCAAGTAGCCCAGGCTCCAATTCCAGTGGATAGTTGGAAGGAAGAGCAGGAATCAGGCACGAGGACAGGACACCTGGGGAAGGGGGTAATGTGAAGACTGTAGCCGTTCCAGCATGAGAAAGCCTATGGGATCATGCGAGGGTATTGCCACCAGGACTTGGGGTGACAGGACTAATTTTATCTCACTTCCTGGTGGGGATGAGTTGCTAATGTATACTGTCAAGTTGGACAGATTTGGCTAGAAAAACCAGGAGGAATTGAGCTGCTAGGTTGAAAGATTTAGTAACTTTAGGTATGTGGGGCCGGGAAAGGCAGAGATCGATAAATCCCAAACCTTTGCATCAGTGAGATCCCACCACGATCTATTTCATTCCGTGACCCATATAACTGTTGTATGCCATATGTTGATAGAAAATAATTAAAGCTAATTAAAATTAATTTTGGTTGGTGAGCATTTGAAGAGTTTCATAATAACTCTTGAGATAATTAGAGATACTTGGGGATGTCACAAAAGGAGCATTTGGAATAACTGGGCTAGATGTTTAAACCAGAAATGTGCAATGAAAGCTAGGAACAGAATGGTAATTCTGTAGTTGAAAGCACACTGAATCAGGAAGGAGGACTTTGGGGTTGTCCTCAGTATGCTGCTAAGATGGCCCTTTGAAATCAACCACCACCTCCTTGCTTTGTAGCATTTGAGAGTCTCTGTGTAAATCCTCCCACCATGGTGGACTCCAGATTACTGATGGTTTAACTACTGGATCACACAGTTCCTGAATGTCTAAGAACCAGCTCTTGAGAGCTCGGTGCAAGGTAACTCCAGCATACCACTGTAATCCTGACGGAGCTTCCAGTTAGTTTTGTGGTCTTAGGTAAATCAGTTCATTCCTTGGGATATTAGTTTTATGATTAGTTAAGTGAAGTCACTAAAATAACTCTGGTCCCTTCCAGAGTTAACATTCCAGTAATGTAGCTAGCTCGTGTTTAGGCAAGACTGGCATCATGTCATAAGCCACAAGAGTTACGTCAGGTTTTCACGAATGTTATTGTGATCCACTGGGTCTGTCATAATCAACCCTCTTCTGATTCCTGCTGTAATGTGTGTCTCCTTTTCTACTGCCTCTTCTCAAGAGGATTAAAAATGGCAGTGCAGCCAATGGCTTACCACAAGGGGGAAGAAACCATAACCTCGGTCAGAGAATTCTACACCCAGCTGTCAGGCCCTAGGAGTCTGTTGAGGGTCTGAGACAAAATCTTATAGTTTAAGGTACATTACCTTCTCTGACCATTAGACCCACCTAATGCAGTCTTCTCTGGAACAAGTAGTAACAACATGAGAGGTTAATTTGCTCCAGCTCTTTGAAGTCAAGGACTGTGTCTTTCATAGTTATATGTCTCAAGCCCTGACACTTAAGGGGCCCTCATAAATGTTTGTTGAAAGAAATAAGTGATTTGCGCCTTTTTAGAGCAAACTCTGAATTTTATCCCCCCAACTCCAGAACTTTATTGAGCTATAGTTGAAATATAATGCTATATAAACTTAAGGTATATAACATGATGATTTGCTGAATTTTAAAACAGTAATTCAAAAGTGGACATAAGCTTCTCTCTGTTTGCCTGAAGAAATATATTTCTTAAATGTGAACAATGATTTTCTTTTTGTAATAGAAAACTTCTCAGTGCCTTCAGTTCAATATTGGCCATTAAATTTGCCTTCCGTCTGTTGCTACAATTGATCCACAACTAGAACCCCAGCAAAGAGAAATATGAATGAGAAAACCCCAAACCAGACAAACCAGGTGTTTACTACCCACCAGTGAGTGCTTGCCTGCTTCCACCAGTGGAATTAGCTCATCTTTTTTGAAAGGGAAGGATCATACTTATTTATAGAGCATATATATTTCTAGATCATGTGCCACTTTACCAACATCTAATCCTCATAGTGACTCTCAGAAGATAAGTATTAGTCTTCCTCTTTTATTTATTTATTTATTTTAAAGATGTTATTTATTTATTCATAGAGACACACACACAGAGAGAGGCAGAGGCACAGGCAGAGGGAGAAGCAGGCTCCATGCAGGGAGCCCGATGTGGGACTCGATCCAGGGTCCCCAGGATCAAACCCCGGGCTGCAGGCAGTGCTAAACTGCTGCACCACCAGGGCTGCCCCTTCTTTTATTTTTTTTAAAGATTTTATTTTTTTTGAGAGAGAGAGAGAGAGAGAGAGAGAGAGAGAGAGAGATCATGTGGGGGAGGGGAAGAGAGAGGGACAGGGAGAAGCCGACTCCCAAAGGAGCGGGAAGCCTGATGTGGGGCTCGATCCCAGGACTGTTGAGATTATGACCTGAGCCGAAGGCAGACATTTAACTGACTGAGCCACCTAGGCACCCCTCTTATTCCTCCTTTAGAGGGTGAGCATTAGAGCCAGCAGTGACAGAGCCCTGAGTCAACACCCCAGAGGTGGTGCACCTTTCCCTGGGCCAGGCCGCCTCAGGCTTTCTGGATTTCCTCCTCTTGCTGTCTCTGTTCCTTGTTTGCTCTGGGATTTGGATACAAGCAAACCGGGCTCAGTCAGTGACCAGGCAAATAGAAGCACAAGCCTCCAGCAGGTTCTGAGCAAATTCGCTAAGTCAGGCCTGTCCCAGACGGAGGTAGTTGGGCTGGACTTTGCCCTAGTGAATCAGCTCCATGGAGGCTGGGCAGTTGAACAGGTAACTAACTGGCTGTAGGTCTGAAGGCCAGGTAGGTCTTGGTAGATGTGGCACATGGACTTTGACATTCTCCAAAGAGGAGAGAGACAGTCTCGGAAGGAAGCTGTGCTGAAAGAAGGTGGGAAGCCACCGAGCAGGTGTGGGGGGACGCTATTTCCCTTGCTTTCTTTCTCTTGGCTGTGCTGTACTGTCACATTAGGAAAGGCAATTTCACCCTTGCTGGGGCTGGGGAGGGTCACTTAGGTGAATGCGAAAGTGTGGTTTGTTGCTGTAGATGTGATGCCTCCACTTTGAGAATCTTGGGTGCTTTTCATTTGGTGTCCTTAATTATAACCTGAGGTCTAACCTATGGGAGTTGATATGTGAGCGACAGAATAATGTGATTTCAGTGGAGAGATAGGGTATTGTGTCTCTGTGGTTGAAGGAGGGCTGTCTAGTGAAAACATCTGGGGACAAGGCAAAAGAGGCTTTCTTCTTGTTGAACTTTCTTGCATCTGAAAGGTAGGAGTTTTGTGGACCTTCAGGAAAGACCGATGTCCCCCTTCACTGTGTTGGAGCATTTGGCTTTTGCTGGGATTTGCTGGAAAAGGCTTTCATTGTACCTGACTGTTTTCAAGGGAGGGGGCTGACACAGGAAGGAAGGTACGAATTTTTCTGAGCTGTAATTGATCTTGAGGTGGAAGGTACGTCTGTGCCTTGCTCTTCTCGTATGTTCTGCTTACAGCTCTTGGCTCATAGCTGTGGACCCTGGATCCATGGCATTCAAGCAGAGTGGTATCTTGATTTCAACATATACCCTTTGACCTTTTGTTCTGATACAATTTTGTTTTTTTTTATATTAGGCTGGGAGTTTCTGGAGTGGGAGCAAGTTAACTGTATTTTATCAAAATCTTTCAACCTAAAACAGTTCCCAAGGGAGAAAAAACATGAGGTCTGACTGAGCTAATGTATTTCTCCTGACATTAGAGAATCCCCAAGTCACCAGTAAAGTCTGATGTGTGCTTTCTCTTTGGAGGCAGCTGGATGCAGGTGCTCCTCTGTGATACAGGGCAGAGGAACTTGGAGGGCATCATGTCTTCAGAGGCATTTCTCATGTTGAAGAATAAGAGGGGAAAATGAATTTGACACTGGGAGAGACTTCCAGATTTTAAAATTTCTAGCCAGGAAGATTACTGAGGCATGGCTGTCTAGTTTGCCGTGAGAACAATCCCAAACTTGATCCCCTTGGAGGATGGGCAGGCATAGCCATATAATAGGGCCTCATTCTTCTAAGAGGATAATTTAAGGATTCAGAAAAGATGTCTCTCAAGGTCAATTTAAACTTCTTTTTGTTTAGGAAATGTCTTCATCCATTCATACTGCCCTGATCTTGTCTCTGATAATACTAACTGCCATTAAATTGAGCAATTACTATATACCAGGCAGTGTATTGGGCACTTTTTTTTGCAAGTTATCACTGACTCTGACTGTAATCCTGCAAACTTGTCCTTATCATCCCTGTTCTGTTTCTCAGGGAAATTTAGGCTTGAAAAAATTAACTAGCTAAGTTAGGATTTAAACTCTGGCATAGCTCTAAGTTCACCTATTTCTCTGACAGCAGAGCGCCTCCACAGTAATTGTTGAGTGAATAATTGCTGGTGGGATAAATGAACGAACACGTATTTAATTGCAATTCTTTGATAGTGTTTTGGAGCTTTATATCTGATTGTTCTGTGTCTCCCCTGCCTCTCACATCTATTGTTGCTCCAAATATACTTTTTAATTTTTAAAGCAACATCAATATAATTGTCTAGCCTGTTATTTACTTCATGTGTCTGCTTGACATTTTCCCCCCAGATATCTCTATTAACAGTGCCTGTGTGTTTTGTTTTAGATAAAAGATTTTGAGGACCGTAGGTGCTTTTTTTCACAAGAACTAATCAATCATCATGTTTGGAGATAGGCCTAAAATGGTGATTTTTTTTTTTTTTTTGTCTGCAGGAAGATAAAATAGCTACACAACTCACTAAAAACACGAGAGAAATTCTGAGGGTCAGGGATGGAATTCTGGGCTCCCCAGTGGCCACCTCAGCCACAGGGGAGGCCCACGGCTCCAGCAAAGGATCCAGACCGTGGGCTTCGGAGAGACAGAATTCATCGGCCCATTCCTCACTCTTGGTACAATGGAGAGAGGTATCACCAGTGGCAAGATCCCCACAGGAGCCCCCCGCCACAGCAGGACCCCAGGACAGACCGCCAGCAGCCCCGTTATGCGTCCAGGCCTGGAGAAAGGCATCAGCCTGTGTCCGGGGCTGACTATTACAAAAGTGGTTATTCCAGCCAGTTGTATTCAAGGTATGGTTCTAGAAGCTGGAATTCACCCAACTCACCTCACCCAAGTGCTTCTGTAGCTTGTTCCTTTCCTTCTTCCTTTTCCTTTTATTCCTGCTCTTTTTCTTCTAGTTCCTTCTCTACCCTAGTACATTGACTTAGTTATAAACCCTTTCCTCTCCCAAATTGGATTGAGGTGACCAACAATAGTATTTCCCTCCTCTCTGTCCCCTTGTGGGGCTTCTTAAAGAGGCTATGACTGGGTGTTGGGGCCAGGGCAGCGGGCAGAAAGAATGGTGGATTCAAGGCAGTAGATGAGCCCTTCTTACTCTGGGATGGCAAAAAGGTAATATTTATAGATTACGGAAAGGTTTGTCCTGGGAATTCCTCTAGAAAGTTCTTTTTTTTTTTTTTAAGATTTTATTTATTTATTCATGAGAGACACACACAGAGAGGCAGAGACACAGGCAGAGGGAGAAGCAGGCTCCATGCAGGGAGCCCGACATGGGACTCGATCCCGGGTCCCCAGGATCACACCCCAGGCTTTAGGCAGCACTAAACCACTGCACCACCAGGGCTGCCCTCCTCTAAAAAATTCTGAGTGTTGTGAGCATAGACACCACCAGTTGGTGGTGGTGCAACAGTGCTTAGGGTGTGCAACAGTGCTTAGGGTATAATAGACACACAGAAAAAATATGGGTTGGATGAATACATGGGAACATTTTAAAAAATGAAATCAACCACAGAGAAAGCAGATAGAACGTTGCAGTCTCTAAGTACAGAACAAAGAGGTCTCTGAGGTAATTCTAGGGGAATCTGGAATTCCTGTTCCTGAATTCTAATTGTTAGCAGAAGATTTAATATTTTATGAAATATTGGAAGTCATCTACGTTCCACTTCAGCTTTTCCAGGTGGGGTGATAATTTGCCTGCCTACAGATTTAGGGTTGAAATTAGGACAGTTATGGTAAAGCATCGGTTCCTATGAGATGCTAAAGAATTACTAATTGATAAAGAGACTAATATGACGTTCCTCTCCCCAATCTTTTTGTATTGTTGAATTCTCGAAGTAAGGTATGTTAAGGACAGAGGCAATAAAGGCAATCAGATGCAAGAGAGTCCAACGTGACTTCTTTATCTCACTTCCATCTGTACATAATATGCATGGGAATTACAATGGCATATTTGGTACCTACACATCATTTCAGGAGAGGGTATTCTAGGATAATATTAGGGTAGGGGCGCCAGGGTGGCTCATTTGGTTGAACATCCGACTCTTGATTTTATCTCAGGTCATGGTCTCAGGGTGGTGAGATCAAGCCCAGCATTGGGCTCCACATTCAGCTCAGAGTCTGCTTGTCCCTCTCCTTCTTCTCTTCCCTCTACTCTCTCTCTTGCTTTCTCAAACAAATAAAAATATAAAAAAAATATTTTTTAAAAAATCAGGGCAGGGTTTTCTAAGGTAACATCATGTATTGTTGGATGTATTGGAGGAGTAGGGGAATCACAGGGAAGGGGAATGAGACACTGGTTATGGTGTTGCTATCAACAGCCCAGGGCTTGTTCTGAAACAAAGGCCCTGTGCTCGCTTCAGCAGCACATATACTGAAACAATGGCCCTACCGGTGCTCTGATTCTGGATCTTCTGTTTATAGGATCTAGAATGAAACTGTAGTTTTAAAATTTTTTTTTTTTAAATTTATGATAGTCACAGAGAGAGAGAGAGAGAGAGAGGCAGAGACACAGGCGGAGGGAGAAGCAGGCTCCATGCACCGGGAGCCCGACGTGGGATTCGATCCCGGGTCTCCAGGATCGCGCCCTGGGCCAAAGGCAGGCGCCAAACCGCTGCGCCACCCAGGGATCCCGAAACTGTAGTTTTAAAGCGGGTTCTGGACGGAGGTGACAGTTGTGTCTTATGAAGGTGTCAAGTCCTCCACTGGTTTCTCACCTTACCACACCCATCCTTGACTGGCTGGCTTTCTTTTTGGTATTTTAGGGCGGGCATTGAGGATCCATATCAAAGCTATCATTCTTCAACCCTAAGGGAAGAACATGCTTATGGACATTATTACTACCATAGACACCCGCAGCAGCTACAGGAAGAAAGAGGTACGGAATAATCTCTGAAGAGCTTTTGGGATGGTGCTCAGAGCCTCACCCTGGCTGTCATGCTTGGCTGACATAGAGCCCCTCACTTGCTTCTTTCTTGGCCATGTGAGGCCACAGCAAAGATACTACTGCTAGATGTCTTGAGGAGAAGAGATAGAAAGGAATCATTTTTCTTCGTACATGTCAGTGATAGTGCTGTATCTACCATTAAGTTTTCAGTTTTATGGACAGTTTGCACTTCAATCACAGTTTTTTCTTCCACTCCTCCTTATAGCCAAGATTATAGTCTCTGTCCAAGGAACAGTGAAGGCAATTCTTGCCAATGAAGTTGTCTAGGGTGTGATTGGGTGTGATGAGTCTGACCATCATCGACCGTGACAGTGGCAGATATGCACTCACAGGAATTTATACCCTTTACCAATAGTAGGGCTTTAGGGATATGCTACTGGTGCTTCTGACCTGCCAGCCAAGGGAAATCTGTTTCAACACAGAAAACACACACACACGATCCCGATGGTTGTACAATTGTTCTGAGCCATGCTACTTGGATCAGGGAGGACTGAGGGGCATCCTGTTCACTTCCATCATTAGCTCTCACTTCTTCATTTTATCCAATTTGGCAAATATGTTTTTATACCTACGGTGCTCCAGTAACTCATCTTCACAGCTGGCGGCTGTCTTTCTAAACTTTTAGGAATAGGAAGTGACTGTCTTCATTTTGTTTTCTCTGAGGGTGCAGTGCCAAGGCGAGAGAGTCCTTATATCTGGCAGGAAGATCACCGAGATCAAAAGTACCTCAGTGAGCATCAGCATGAAAACCAGAATAGTCTGTAAGTGTGAAAGGAAAGGCCAGCTCAACATGGCTCGGCCAAACTCAGATTAAGTTGGGCAAGTCTTGTGGCATCCCAGTGCTTGTCTCTATCTCTAGAATGCTGTCTGCTGGTTGTGGAGTAGCCCAGAGTGGCCCAAGCCAGCTTTAAGTGGAGTCTTAACATTGACAGGAGACTCCCAGACTTGGGATCACCTGAGTTCCTGTTGAGGTTGTATAAAGTCCACCCTACAGGAAGGCCTTAATTCTAGGTTGGCCTCAGAGCAAACGTGGTCTTGCAGAAGTATTCAGTTTGGTCCTGGCTGAGGCTGGGGAGTCTCTCCTCCCCCCCAGCCCCTGGGATAAGGAGAGCAGAAAAGAGCCTTTTGCACAAACACTGTCCTGGTGCCCTTAGGCCTGGTGCCTTTACCTTGTACAACCAACTGGCCAACCCAATTGCTCTGATGTCAAGTCAGTTCAGGCTGTAAGGCTGCAGGGACCATCTCTTCTCTGTGGGCTTTGGAGTTACTTCTAGTGACTGTGCTAGGGGACCCAGGAGCTCCTGTTTTTCTGGAATCAATAGATTGGGGGAGAAAAGGGAGGATAATGCTTTTCCCTGTGGCACACAGGCCAACCCTACACTGCCCATGCTTCGCAGCTGAACAGCCTCCAGGAGAGAGCAGCTCAGTTTTGCTGGCTCGCCCAGGACCCCCTTTATCTGCTCCTGTCATTTTGCTTCAGATCCAAGAGTCAGAACCCTTATAAAGACAGCCCTGCTTCTAACACTGGACAGGAGAGGCCTGGGGACATGATTCTGGAGAGTCTGCTAACTGGAACCCAGAAGAATGAGGTAATCTGAAGTGACATGGGGGCTGGTGGGCTGTGACAGTACATCACAACTGACACCGAAGCCGTGGCAGGGCAGGGGGCCCTTGGGAGGGGGGTTTCCGGTGACCAGCAGTCTGAGGGGTTCCATCTGCCCCTCTCTGCAGAGCCTCCTCCTTTTCCTGCCTTCCTGTTTCAATCTACAGGTCTGGGGCCCCGATCTGTCCCTTTTGCATTTTTGTCAAATTGGCTGGACCAGGAAGTGTCACCCAAGTCACTCCGAGGTGCTGAGCAAAAGGAGAGGCTGTCACTAGTACCCCAGGGGACTGGCAATTTAGCTTATTCAGGGAGTGAGGAATTGCTGGAATCTTTCAATTCGGGTCTGAAAAGCAGAGTTGAAACCTTTCTTGACTCTTCCAACTCTCTCCTCTGAAATCTTACTGGGTATACCAGCCAGGTCACAAAATGGAGTTCTTAAATTTTTTAAAATAAATTTTTAATTTGAGAATAATTTCAGGTTTATGGAAAAGTGGTAAAAATACTGCTGAGACAAGTTCTTGATTTTCGACAGTCTTATATTAATTTTGTTTCCATGATGAGATCTGTCTGCTTTTTGAGAACATTTTCTTCTGTATACCTAACACTTAACAGGGCAGGGCACATGCTTTGTAACATATGTCCATAGGAACAGCAGCCAGACATGAGAACAGCCCTTTACAGCTTTGCATCTATTGTTTCATCCTCCTGGGATATAAGTTCCATGAATTTCTTGTACACCTGTGTCCCCAGGGAAAGCACAGTGCCTGGAGCATAGTAGGTGCTCATTAAATAACGGTGAACGGCTTTTACATGAGTAAGTACTTGAAATCTATAGGACAAATATGATTATTTTTTCAAAGATTTTATTTATTTATTCATGACAGACACAAAGAGAGAGAGGCAGAAACATAGGCAGAGGGAGAGGGAGAAGCAGGCTCCTCTCAGGGAGCCTGATGTGGAACTTGATCCCTGAACTGCAAGATCACGCCCTGAGTTGAAAGTAGAGCTTAACCGCTCAGCCATCCAGGAGTCCCGACGAATATGATTATATTACAGATGGGAGTCCTGAGCTCAGACAGATTAAATCATTTTTCCAAGGTCACAGCAGGTATTGACAGAGCTGGGATTTGAAGATTTATTTTATTTTTAAGTCATCCCTACACCTAGAGTGATGCTTGAACTCATAACCCCAAGATCAAGAGTCACATGCTCTACTCACTGAGCCAGCTGGGTATCCCAACAAAGCTGGTATTTGAATTCAGGTCCCCTGTCCTCTGTGCCTACACCCTTTTCTTTCTTTCTTTCTTTTTTTTTTTTAAATGATTTTATTTCTTTATTCATGAGAGACACAGAGAAAGAGAGAGAGAGGCAGAGACACAGGCAGAGGGAGAAGCAGGCTCCATGCAGGGAGCCCGACGTGGGACTCAATTCTGGGTCTCCAGGATCACATCCTGGGCCACAGGCAGGCACTAAACCACTGAGCCACCCAGGGATCCCCTACACCCTTTTCACTAGGCCATCATCCGTTGATTAAATGCGCACTTCTGTTCCCTGCAACACATCCACATTAGATGTATTTATTTGAAAGTTTTGATTTTGTTGCTTTGAAGGAACACATGGGAGGTCCATCTGTCTGAAAGTGCTTCTGATTCTTTCCATGTGTTTTCATTATCTTTAACTTCCAGCCACCACTGGCCGACGAGTCCAACCTTCTCCAGCAGCATGAGTCTGGCCTCACCTCCAGCGCCTACGAGCTCAGTCAGTATATAGGAGATGCCTCTGAGCTGTACAACCCCATGGCACCAGCAGCTTTGAGTCCAGTTCAGGCTGGTGGGTACTGAAGTGATCTGAGCAACTGGTTAAGTCTGGTGAGAAGAGGGCTAGTTGGCAACCTCTTGGAAAGTCACCCTTCCTCTGTACTTCTAAGAGTGGATCATTGCCTGCCTCATTTATTTATGCAAGTTTCCTGGGCAGAGAAGCCATTTTGGCTCTATTTTTACCTTTTCTCTTGTACTAGAGATTGCATCATAGGCGATTCTTAGAAGGGAACACTGCTTCTAGCCATCAGGGTCAGGCTGGGAGAGGAGACACCCAGAAATACTTGAATGTAACAGGTGAAGAAAGTGAAGACCAGAGTCAGTTTGGTAAAGCAAAGGCAGGCCACAAAGCAAGGTTGTTTTGTTTGGATGTAGGACACATGTCATGAGTACTGGGGTTATGAGAGCCAGAGTCCCCAGTCTCTTGCCATCATGGGGGAGTCTGGGCCTGGTGCCTTACCATTTGGACCAAACCATTGAATCCTTACCTTATATTTTAACATATTCTGAGAGGCTTAACTCTGACTTGGAGCATAGGCTTCTTTTAATTACCCCACCCACCCAGAGTCTTATCTTTGCCCAGGTGGAATTTGGGTAGAAACATGTCTGTGGTGTACTTCTAAAGATAAGTAGTAGCAGTAATGCTAACAGGTCCCCCTGTGTCTATTGGTCAGAGAATGTCTCGGCAGCAGGTCCTAAGGAGCCCATGAAATTCTACATCCCTCATGTGCCTGTGAGTTTTGGGCCAGGAGGTCAGCTGGTGTATGTGAGTCCCAGCTCCCCCAGAGATGGACAGACGGCCCTAGTTGAACTGCACAGCATGGAGGTAAACAAGATTCTGTGTTGCAGAGCGCTGGCACTTGGCTTTCTTTCGCTTTGCTTGAGCCTGGGCATCTCCGGGAATGGGATGCTCTTGTGGGGAACTGGGCCATGCCCTCCGTGGATTGGGGCATGTATTGTGAAGGAAAGGGTAGGAGTCTTCTCTCAAAGAAGTGATACTAGATTTAAGTTTCTTCTGAGATGCTATTGGCTCACTTTCAGCAACCGGAGAACTCACTTTAAACCTCCTGTGTTCTCCACAAAGCACTGAACCACATCCCAGGACCACAGCCATGGGTTCTGATATTGGGCTTCACTGACAGGGGCATTGGGTGGACGTGGTCTCGAACGCCAAATCTGATTTTTCGTTCCAGATTATTCTTAATTATTCTGAGGAGCAAGAAGAGCTGAGGACTTTCTCAGGACCCCTGATCAGGTAAATTATCTTAAGAGCTGCCAAGTGAGGGCTTTTGAATCTACAAAATCTGCCTGCCCAGATCAGCATTTTGGGGATCTGCTCTTGGCTTCCTTGAAAGAAAATATCTCTCCCCTGTGGAGCAGTATACTCTGTGCAACAAGATAGAGACAAATGTGGCCTGATCTCTTTTGACAAGCAACTGGAGAGTCGAGGGGCAGAAAGAAAAATTAAGATTAAAAATCTGAAAACAGTTCTATTTTGCAGGAGCTACAGAGTAGGAGGTTTTTGCATTCTGAGTACTGAATAGATACTGGTAGAAAGGTGGTGCACAGCCTGGGAAATTATAGACAAGCTGATCAGAGTGGGAAAACGATTCTTGCCATTTTCTGGACAAATAGCGCGGTGTGTGTTCCTGGATGGTGTGCAAGTCTGCCCTCTGCAGGATTGAGCTAGTATTGCTTTTAATTTCCTAGTCCCATTTCTTTTTCTTTTTAGCAAACAGTATTGTTTAATTGGTAAGAATGGAAGAGAACAATAAATGACATTATTATAATAAACATCAATACATATTTGTTATATATATGTGTGTGTGTATACATACATGCATACATACAAGTTGAGTGATTCAATATTCTAAGTCATAAAAATGTCCTAGTCCCATTTCTGATTGATATTCAGGACATGCTACCCTGGAGAGAGTCCTGGTGGGAGTCAGAGGACCTGGGTCCTTGGCCGGAGCATCCTACTAAGTAGAGGTCCCATGGTGGACAGATCAGTTAGTCCTCCCTCAGCCTTAGGGCTCTCTTTATGTAACACCTCTCCATCTGCTTTAAGTGTAGGAAAGCTGTATGTATATCATCGCTACTCTACAAACTTATTCTTATCCTGAAACTTTCCCCTCCAAGAGAAACCCATAGTATTATGACAGTTTCTTCAAGTAAGAGCGTTGAATCTCTTTCATGCTGGCATTCGGATGTGGGGTAGAGCACCAAGCTGGGGGTGTGGACACTAGGGGGCTGATCTAATTTATTGCATGACCTGGAGCAAACAATATTACCCATTTATTGAGCACTTTAGTATACACTATAACATTTGCTAATTCCTTTTATATGGTGGTGGGGTCTTTTTTTCTTTCATTATCCCTATTTTAGGGGGAAAAGCAGAGGTTCAGATGGGATAAGAACCTTATATAAGCTGAGAAGTGGCAGGCTGGATTTAAACCCATGGTCGTCTGACTCCAAAGTCTCTGGCGTGCTGCCCTATGCCATCCCTGGGCCTCAGTTTCTTCATCTATAAAAGGGAGAGGGAGAACGAGAGACTCTCTGAGGTCCCTTCCTGTTCTACAAGGAAACTACAGACTCAGGCTTCTCTCTCAGCCCGCCCCCGCCCCTCCCCCCACTTCTGCTAGCACCCTCACAATGCAGGAGCCTGTGGTCCTGTGCAGGTAGAGTCTGCCCTTCACTCTTTGCTCCCTGAAATCTCTCCTTAGGGAGGATGTACACAAGGTGGACATCATGACATTTTGCCAGCAGAAAGCAGCTCAGAGCCAAAAATCAGAGACACAAAGGAGCAGAGATTCAGCTCTACTGTGGCAATTGCTGGTTCTCCTGTGTCGGCAGAATGGGGTAAAGTATTACGGCTCTGACAGGTGGGCAGGTGCAGGCTGCATTGAAATTGAAGTCTTCCCTGGATAGAGAAGATTCGGCTTACGGCATGATTGTAAAAGATAACGTCAAAGAAGCAACAGATGTCCCTAAGGGAAAAAGTTGCTCAGATGTTAACCCCATTTGCTATTGATAACCTTTTCCCTGTCCTTCTCCATTGGCCTGGGGTTATTGTGCAGTTTTGGGGTTACTGTATGAACCACATGATACACCTACAAAGGTATGTGTATTTCTGGCCATCTCTGTGGCTCCCAGAAGGCAGAACATATCACGAGAGTGAAGCCGAAGTTTGAAGTAACAACAATTCAAGAAAGGACGGTCTTGTGTTTGCATGTTGGCCTCCTCACGGAGAAGGCAGGTGCATCGGCGCCTGGGCTGCCACCATGAGGGCAATAGGATTCTCCCTCAGGATGACCCTCTTTGCCTTTCAGTCCATGGTGGGGTCTGACATCGCTGAACTGCTGATGCAAGACTGCAAGAAGCTGGAGAAGTATAAGAGGCAGCCGCCGGTGGCTAACCTCATCAACCTGACCGATGAGGATTGGCCTGTGCTGAGCTCAGGGACCCCAAACCTGCTCACCGGGGAGGTTCCCCCCAGCGTGGAGACACCTGCACAGATCGTAGAGAAATTCACTAAACTGCTCTACTACGGAAGGAAGAAGGCAAGTGTGGCCCCTCCAGGCTTGTTTTTAAGAAGTAACCAGGCCCCCACCCCCAATTATAATGAGTAATATTCATCCATTTTATAGCACTTCAGACGTTCAGAAAGGTACAAAGAAAAAAATTATATCGTTTTACCATTTAAAGATAACACCTGTTAGGGACGCCTGGGAGGCTCAGTCAGTTAAGTATCTGCCTTCAGCTCAGGTCATGATCTCAGGATCCTGGGATTGAGCCCTGCATCCGGCTCCCTGCTCAGTGGAAAGTCTGCTTCTCCTTCTGCCCCTCCTCCCACTCGTGCTCTGTCTCTCAAATAAATAGATCCTTAAAAAAGATAACATCTGTTAACATCTTGATATATTTACTTTTGGCATTTTTCCATGCATATATATTACAAATAAAATTAAATTACATATAAAATTATTTCTATTTGTTCACTTAAGATTATATGATGTAATACTCCCATGGCATTAAAACGTACCATTTAAAAAATGTTTCACTATATGAATTATAATATTTTATTTATCTAATTCACTGTTTTTGAATATATAGGCTATCTACAATGCTGTCACCCATTATAAATTATACATTTTGAACATCTTGTTATATAAATCTTTGACTTATCTTCTTAATTTTTAGGATAAATACCTAGAATGGAACTATGGGTTAAACTTGTAAAAGTACTTTACATATGCACTAAATTAGCTACCAGAAAGTTTGTTTCCAATAGTGTCCCCACCAGCTATAGCTAATGTATGCCTACCAATATTGAATACTTCAATTCAACAGATGAAGTGATGCCTTGTTTATTTTTTGATATGTAAATTAGACAATAATAATCTTTATATTATTTATTCAAAAAATTTATTTGAGATGTATTTGAAAAAATTCTGGGATATTTAGTGTGTATGATGTGATGATTTGATATACAAATATCATTGGGTATCATTTTAAGTAGTCTCTACACCCAATGATATATATAATATACATAGTATATGTAATATACTATGTATATTATATATTATATTTTATATATTACATATTATATTATATTAATATATTATATATTTTATATATAAAATTATAAAATTATATATTATATTATATATAGATTTTTAAATTTTATTGATTTAAATAATCTCTACATCCAATGTGGGGCTTGAGCTCACAACCCTGAGATCAAGAGTCAGATGTCCTTCAGACTGAGCCAGACAGGTGCCCAGACAGTAAATGTATTTGGTTTTGTAGGTCAGAGAGTCTCTGTTGCAACAGCTTAATTCTGCTATTGTTGAGTAAAAGCAGCCACAGATGATATGTAAATGAATGGATATGGCTGTGTTTTATTTATGGACATAGATTTTGAATTACATATAATTTTCGTGTATAATGAAATATTCTTTTTTAAAATTTTTTTCCCCAATCCTTTAAAAACAGGAAAAGTTATCCTTAGTTGGTGGGCTATACTAAAATAGGCAGTGGGCTGAATTTGGTCTTCAGGCTATATTTTCCTGACCCCTGCTCCTTATAACATGTAAATACTACCTTCATTATTTTTTACAGCTCCATAGATTCCTAAAGATAAATGTGATTAATTTAACTAAGCCTTGATAGATTGACATATAGATGATTTACAGTCTTTTGCAATTACAAGTAACACTGTAGTAACAACCAATGTCATTTTGCTGTATAAGAGAATATACCTATGATTTCTAGAATAGTTTCTGGAAGTGGAAGTGTTGAGTCAAAGGGTATATGGCTTGGAATTTTGAGAAATAGTGACAAATTACCTTTTTAGAGGTTGTGCCAATTACTCTACCAGCAATATTTGAGAGTGCCTATTTCTCCACTCTCACTAACTTAGTGTTTCCAAGCTTTTAATATGTGCCAATCTGAGAGGTTAAAAAATATAATTTAGTGTAGTTATTTTCATTTCTCTTATTATAAGTGAAATCTAATATCTTATAGTCTGTGAATTTTTTTGTCATGGATTTTCTACATTTTTCTGTTGGATTTTTGATCTCCAATTTATTGATTTGTAGGAGCTCTTTACTTTTTAAGGACTTTCTCTATAAAACTACTTTTTTGGGGTGATATTTAGAAAGGCTTTCCTACTTCAAAATTAAATTTTGAAAATAAAGTTCAAGTACTTTTGTAGCTTCACCTTTACATTTGAATCTTTAATCTTAGTTTATTTGTATGTGATGCTATATTTTATTTATTTTTAAAACATTTTATCTATTTATTTTAGGGAGTACGAGTGGGGAAGGGACAGAGGGAGAGGGACAAGCAGACTCCTCACTGAGTGGAGAGCCCAATGTGGGGCTTGATCCCAGGACCTTGAGATTATGATCAGAGTTGAAGTCAAGCACTTGACCTACTGAGCCACTCAGGAACCTCAGTGATGTTATATTTTGAATGAGTACAAGACATGAAACTCAGTGAAGATCAATGGGATCATATGATAGCCATCTTCTGTTCACTAAATAGTAGGGACCTACAATTTCAGCAATGATTTATTTGTTCAGTAAACATTTATTGTGCAGCCACTACTTCTAAGGCATTGGATCCAGTGGGGGACACAGAGATAAATCAGTAATAATCTCTTTCCTTAAGAAAGATTAACTAATAACATAACAATAACAAAAGCAAATATTTAAAAAATAATTTCTATGTATCAGGCACTTCCTTACCATCTTACATGTATCATCTCATTTATCTTCATAGAGGCCCTGTAGGTTAAGTTCTTTTTTTTTTTTTTTAAGATTTTTATTTATTTATTCATGAGAGACAGAGACATAGGCAGAGGGAGAAGCAGGCTCCATGCAGGGAGCCTTACATGGGACCTGATCCTGAGTCTTCAGGATCACACCCTGGGCTGAAGGCAGCAGCTAAACCACCAAGCCACCCAGGCTGCCCTGTCTTGTTTTATGTACTTGCAAATGAGGAAAGTTACTGAGTAATAAAGCAGCCTGATGTCTGAGCTCGGGCTCCAATCATCCCCTACACCGCTTGTTTCCTTGGACCCAAAGGTGAGCAGGGGATAGAAAGAGTATTCTGGGAGTTGAGAGTGGCTCATGAGCTGGAGACCAAAATATCTCTCATATCTTTATCAATATTTGATTGGTGCCTTGTTTCTGGCACTGTGTGAGATTAATATCAATGTAATTTCTCAATTTCTTCACTTATTCTTAAATTATATTTTTGGAGATGCAAATTTTTGAACAAAGTCATGAATCCCAACCAATTATTAGTAATTCCCTTTAAAAATACTGTTGTGAAATATGAAACATATGAAAAGAGTAACTCAATGTCATTTTTCCTTGTAGCAGATGTGAGGCTGAACTTCCTAATGGTGGTTGTTTAAATTTGTTCTCTCTCTTGAAATAAGATAGTGTGGGAGATATTGAGATGATCAAAGAAATTTGCACCTGGAGGTGGAGTTACCTCATTAGTGACTTCCTGTCCAGAAATCACATTATTTTTGAGGACTAAGGAAATTATTAATACCAGGTCAAAACCTCAAATATAAATTAAGCTCTTATTAAATAATTCTGAAAATTGAATGAAAAGATGAGTGTGAGTGTGTCTGGTATGTCTGTGTTAAAATTTGCAGCTTCTAACTGATCTCACCAAGTTAATGGTGTTATTAATTTGGCATATGAATTTGGTAGTTAACAAACACTTGATAGTTAACAAGCAATTAGTTATACTATTAGGTGGAGCAGGTTAACCACTATGCATACTGTCCTAAACACAGTAGCAGCTTCTTTCTATTCACATGGGAGTCCTGGGCAGGTGAATGGAACAGGGGGGCATCTCTCCTCCATGGAGTAGTTCAAGCAATCAGCATGGAGGAGGCTGTACCATCTGAGCATCTTCAATCCAACCATCCAGATGGGGAAAAGGGTGTGGAGGACTAGGCGAGGGGTTTCTACGAGCCAGACTGTGGAAGTGGCACACATCACTTCCATTCCTGTTCCACAGCCTGGAACTCAGCCACTTGCAGGTGCAAGGGAGGCGGCAAAATGCAGGTCAAGAAGGGGAGCACGTTTTGGTGGGGAACTAGCAATATCTGCCACAGTTGCAAAAAAGAAACTGTGCCCCCACAAATATCATCTTACTGCCTGTATTTTGAGGCTCAGTCCTTGGGGTGAGGTGTTTAGGTTCATAAAAGCAGCGTGTGATATCCGCTAAAGAGATAAGGCTAACTGGAAACTGTTTGAGGGGCAGCTAATAGCATAATGGGTTTGATTAAGTGAGGGCTGGAGAAGGGACATCTCAGAAATATGTGCCAGTTGGAGCCCATTTACCCCCTGCTTTTTGTTCCACTCACAGATGAGGCTCTGGGTCTCCCTGGGAGCCTAGCCTCTGTGGCTCAGGGGTAGCAGTACCCAAACACCGTTGTATTGAATGTGACATGTTTTTGTTTTCAGGAAGCCTTGGAGTGGGCCATGAAGAACCACTTGTGGGGCCACGCTTTGTTCCTTGCCAGCAAGATGGACCCAAGGACCTACAGCTGGGTTATGAGTGGGTGAGTGAGCTGGGCGCTGACAAAGGAGACCATTGGAGCAGAGACTTCTCCCCCAACCCCCACGGGAGGGGGTGGTGGGGAGAAATGCAGGATGCTCTGGGAAACCCCTACACCAAGCATCTTTCCAATTTCTCTTTTCTGACCCAGATGTAGGATATCCCTCCTCTAGGTTCTTATAACCTAGACATAGACACATTCTTTCTACCTGCCTGCTAAATAAACATTTTAATAATATTTCTCAGAGTGTGAGTTTCCAAAAATTCCATAGGTTTCTACAATCTGGCAGTTCTCTTTGGGAGAGGCTATTCTAGATAGTTCCATAGGTGAGGGAATAGGTGACCCCTTCTGGTGAACTGACAGGGGCTTAGTTAGGAGCTGTCTACTGTTTAGTCTTGCAGTGGGGAATGTGGGTACTGAGAGGAAGGTAAGGATATGGGGAAACAGGAGCTGTGCTAGGAACAGGTTTCATAGGACTGGGAATTGGAGGCAGCAGCCTTCATCTAGGGCAGAGGGACATGATGAGATTGAAGGGATGTTTGGTCAGAGATGCCGGCATACCGAGACCGGGACGACACAGGATGGGAGGTTGACTACATGGCCAGAGGTTTGGAACAAGAAGGATTACGTGGAGAAGCTGGGTGTAGGGGCGCTGGAGAAGGGTTTCTGAGTAAGCCCGTTGGACTTTAGCCAGATCCATGGGAGAGCAGGGACAGATGTAGGGGGGAGGTGAGGAGGGCTGGGGGACCCTCCTGTAAGGGGCAGGCTTGGATCAGACAGTGAGAAGGACAGTCCCTCAAAATGTTCATCTTCCTGTGTTGGTTGAAGCTGTGAAGCTGTGAAGCTCTCAGCTTTAACTCAAGTTTAAATTGGCCATAAATTGGCTGTCGGGCAGTTGGCTGGGAAGATCACACCTCCCTTCAAGGCTGTCACACTCCCCTTCTGCACCCTGGCGTCCATGGATTCTCTTTTCTACCCCAGTCCTCAGTCTTCGCAGGACTAGGAGCGCCTCTGCGCATTTCATTATGCTCAGCCTGGTGAGGAGCACTGGAGTTTTATTATGAAAGGCACTCCGAGCTCCCAAGGCAAGGGTGCTATTAAATAAAAGACCGTGTTCTGAGGGATGATTTTCCTTTGGGTTTTGGAAATGAACATCCCACAACCCCACGTTAGAGCATACATCTCTGCTATAGTTTTTTGCCTTGGGCCATTGATTTTTGATGGGGCCCAGTGAATTGTGAAAAATCTCTCTTACTGAGTGTGCTTAAATCTCAAATCAGCGATAGAGCTTATTATATCCTTGTTAAGCATATCCCACGGTTTGTCATCAGCAGGATCATTTCTGGTCCCTGTTCTACGCCTCTTTGGTTACTGGAAATGGCTATTTAGTGCTTGTGAGGAAAAGCACTGCAGAACCAGGCTCGTCTTGAGCCAGAGCAACCAGCTCTGAGAGTTGTGGGCAGGGCACGAGGGGGCTGCTTCAAAGGAGTAGAAATCAGAGTGGGTGATCTGCTGGGCAGGGGGCCCCACAGAGGGGAGGTTTGGGTTAACTGCTGGGGTTCTCCAGGGATCTATGAAATGTTGGGGTATCATTTCCATGACAAAGAAAGCCTAGAGAAATGGTTACTCCAGAGTTAGGGTGTCAGTGCCAAAGATCAGGAAATAACCCCCAACAGTGAGCTCAATGTGGGGTGTATGGTGGAATGAAGATCTTGCCAAGCCCCCCAGAAATGGGATGTAGCAGAGGCACAACTGACAAGCAAAGAGAAATCCATGTTCCAAAAGAAGCTGCTGAAATCAAATAGAAATGTATGGGAGTTTTGCCCCACTGGCAAGAGGTAAAAGGCTCTCTTGGCTTGGCCACCATTAACGGTCACCTCTCTCTCTGCAGCTTCACCAGCACGCTGGCTTCCAACGACCCCCTGCAGACCCTCTTCCAGTTCATGTCGGGGAGGATCCCCCAAGCAGCCACGGTACTCCTTCAATACCCCAGCATCCTAGGGCATTAGAGGGTGGGGAGCACTTGGGAATGAGGTGATGACTTTAGCGATTTTTATTTTAAACTTTTTTTGGGGGGTGGGTGGGGGAGAGAGAGAGAGAGAATCTTAAGCAGACTCCCCCTGAGTGCAGAGCCTGATGCAGGGCTCGATCTCACCACCCTGAGATCACGACCTGCCCGAAATCAGGAGTCAGACTCTCAACCAACTGAGCCACCCAGGTGTCCCAAAGGGTGATGACTTCAAACTAAAAATAAATAATAATTGTTTGTTAATCACTTATCGTGCACTTGGCCCTGTGCTGAGCACTTTGCTTCATATCGTTTCGGTTAATGCACAGAGGTAGGAATTCTTATCACCATTTTGCAGATGTGGAAACAGGTGCAAAGGTGTAAAATGACCTGAGATCACAGAGCTTGGAGAAGCGGAGCCAGGACTGGCTCAGGTCTGTCTGATTCCAAAGCACGGCTGCCTGCTTTGCATGCATGGATAGCGAGAGAGCCCAGGCTTCCCGGAGCTAGGTTGCCCTTCTTTCCCACCACTGTGCACTGAGCAGGCAAAGCTGGACATATTTGATTTTACATGTTGTCTAGAGTTGGATAGAACTCAGAAGTCTCAGACCAGTTTGATGGTTTTCCTATGAAAACAGACTTGATCTTTTTGCCCCAAAGAATCCTTCTTTATCCTTGAAGTCAATAACTTTACTGGGATGTCTCTTAGTGTTGACTGTCTGGGACAGTCATTTTTCTTGGCACAAAGCATGCTCTTTTAATATCTACATTCATATTGTGCAGTTCAGGAAAGTTTTCTTGAATTATATCTATCTTCAATATTTGTTTTGTTCCATGTTCTGGTTTTCTTTCAGGAATTCCATGTATGTACACTTTCATATATCTATGAATATGTACACATACAAATGCAGATTATATGTCTTTTTCTCTTTAATTAAAAACACTTTTTTGTTTTCTTTCCTTCCTCCTTCCCTCCCTCTCTTTCTTCTTGTCCTTCTTTTCTTATTTCCATCCTGTGTATCGCTTACTGTTTTGTCATCAATGTCTCTTCATTTTTGTGCTGTTGCCATTTTCATCTTGATTTCTTTGACTTTTCTTCCACTTCTTCCCTGAGTTCTGAAGGTCACATTTACCTCTTCCTGTTGTCCACAGTCTCTTTCTTGGGCTCTTATAACTCAGCTTTAGGTCCTTGCTTCATAAGAAATTATTTCATTATTTTACTTAAATTCATGATGAAATGTTTGGTGATACTTCTTTATTCGTTTTGTGGTAACAGTTTTCCAGTGAGTATTCTTTCTACCTTCCATTTATTTTTTCATGTTACTGCCCTTCTTTTATCTGTATAGTGAATTTGTACAGATTTTGTGCATATTACTTGACAGGAGTCAAGTCTTCCCTGGGCCAGCTGTTTGTGGTAGGTTTGTGATGGGGAGGGGCCAGGGCCATGCTGCAGGCTACCTGGCATTTTCTGCATGATAAAGAGTGTTTAATGGGTATCTGTGTAGGCTTTGAGTCTTCCCAGGCCAGCGGAGATGACTGTGGGATCTTCTCCTTCTGGAGTTCTCTCTCTGCTTCCTCCTGAACTCACCTCTTTTCAATCTCTACTACTTTTGGCAGCTTTTTCTTATATTTCGAGGTTGAGTTTTTGCTGACACCTAGTTTTAATGAAAATGGACTCCACATTTTTGCTTTTTTTGTTCTTCTTGCTTGGGGACAATTCTTAGAAAAGAAAAGAGAAATGATGAGTTTCATGCCCCATCGTCAAGCCCACTGGCTATATGGGAACAAAGAGTGCTCACAATTCAGCTGAATGGCTGTGCACAGTTATGAAATTGCATCATGTCATGAAGCAGGAAATGATGTAATCAATTTATGGTCCATTGGGTCTCCCTGCGATGGTAGAGTTAGCTAAATGCTCCCTGCTTTTAGGTGAGAAAACTGAGAAGTCAGAGGTGATATGCCAATGCACATCTTAGTGCAAACACTAAGTATTTGATCTTAGTGTTTGAGTTTCCTCACATCGTGGCATCCAGTAAAAGGCCAGTCTTTAGTTACTTGGAATGAGTGGGAAAAGCATGGCAACCAGAAAACACAGATGTGAGCTTCTATCACGGGTTAAACCAGAGTCTGCTCCTTACTGCTCTGTGGACTTGGCCTTCTTAATCTCAGAATGTCAGGTTTTCCTATCTCAGAATGTCAGGTTTTCCTCTTTGTGGGCATTTTGATGCCTCACCAATAGAGTTATTGTGAAAATTACAGGAGGGAGACTATCTGAACACATATCAACCACCATGCTTGACCCACTGAAGTTAGTTAGGTATTTGCTGTCTCTCGAACACTTTTTCTCTCCATAGATCTGTTTTACAGTGAGTTTTTTCAGATCACCTGGGGGAAGAGACAGAAGAATGACTTCTAAGTGTTTGTTCTTTTCAGCAAGGATTTTTCTTTTGCTCATTCTTTTCGCTCCAGCAAGAAAGGGCCTGCTTACATGGGGATGATAATAGTACCCAATGCATGTGATTGTTCACAGGAGAAACATTTAATTTAGCACCAGGTATGGTTCGTGGTCAGAGTGCAGTGAGTGAGAACTGCTCTTCTTGCGATTGACTATCATCATCCCCCTCATTCATGTTGCATCACCCAGATAAACAAAGAGTAACCACTAAGTGGAGTTGGTTAAAGCATCTTTTGTTCCTTGGGATAATTACAAAGACCAAATAGTTATGAATTGTTCTGACTTCCAAAACTTAGTGATTACTGTCAATCTCTTGCTCTACCCATTCTATGTAACAAACTGGAAGATGGACTGGCTGGTCTGCAAATCACCTCTTTCCTTTGGCTGGGTTTTCATCTGTGTGTGTGTGTGTGTGTGTGTGTGTGTGTGTGTGTGTGTGTGTATTTGCACCTATGTGTCATTTATAAAGAGCAAACTAAGTGCGAAGCACTATGCTATGTGCTTTTACCTAGCTATCTTATTTTATTGTCAGTACTAACCCTGTTAGGTTGAAATGATGATCTCTACTTAAGACATGAGGAAAAAATGTTTGAGAAACTTGCTCAAGGTCACACAGCTAGTGAGAAGCAGGACTCCAAGGGGTGCCTGGGTGGCTCAGTCAGTTGAGTTGCCCATTCTTGATTTCGGCTCAGGTCATGCTCTTGGGGTCATGAGATCCAGCCCCACTTGGGGCTCTGCGTTCAGCAGGGAGTCTGCTTGAGATTCTCCTTCTCCCTCTGCCCCCCACCCACAATGCCTCACCCCTGCGCACACCTGCTCTCTTTCTCTCAAATAAATAATAAATCTTAAAATTAAAGAGAGGCAGGACTCCAGTTGCATCCAGGGCCTGTTTGTTTCTGTGATGTTATATTGTTTTTTTATTGATATTTTCTGTCCTGAAATCCCCCTATATTCAAGAGAAGGGAGGCCCGGGAGGCCCAAGCCCCACCCTTTGTGTGGAGTATTTTTGGCTCGGTATGCACCCTACTGCCCCCTTGTGGAGCTCTGCTGCCGCTGCATTGTCACCAGAGGGAGGAGGCATAGTCCTCAGCCGGGAACAAGATGAATGGGGTCTGGGTGCTGGGCTGGGCCACCTGGCCTGTCTCATTCTTCAGGTGGCAATTGGAACTCGACTTCTAGGGTTGTTGTGAAAGTTAACTAAGGTGATGTGTGTGAAAGGCCTTTGTAAAACCAGAAAACACAAGCCATTTGGAAAGTTATTAAGGGGCTTAGGGCTCCCCTGACTCCTAACGGGCTAATGTGGATTCTTCCTAGGAGTCAAGGATGTCTTGTCTCCCTTCTCCCACCGAAACATCAGGGTTTGTTGTGTTTTTCTGGGTTTTGTCCCTCGCTGTTGGGACGGGGTGGGGCAACCAGGAAGAAATGTGAAAATCAGGAAGTGATCAACAGTGTCATTTTATTTACCTGTTTCCCGATATTCCTGTGGATGTCCCTATGAGCACGTGTCTGTGTCCCTACCCATCCTGTCAGGAGTCTGACCCTTTAAAAGGAGATCTTGAAATCAATGAAGGGCAGCACTGCGGGCAGTGCACGGGCACATCCCCAGAACTCCAATCTGGGAGACCAACCACTTTTCTTCACCTACATCCTGGCCAGTGCTATCGTGATCATTTGTCTCCCATTTTGCCTGTTGTCTTTCAGTGCTGTGGAGACAAGCAGTGGGGAGACTGGAGGCCTCACCTGGCTGTGATTCTGTCCAATCAGGGTGGGGACGCAGAGCTGCACCAGCGTGCGATTATCACCATGGGGGACACCCTGGGTAAGCAGAAGCCAGCCCAGCCGCCCTCGTCTCCTCTCGGGCATCTCCAGGCCAGCTTTAAACATCTATCCCGAAGCTTTAAGGCGCTATGCAGGGCCTGCCTGGGTCTGTGCCCTCCGTGTTTGGGGAACTCCAGGGAAAGGAGCATCTTTCTTGCCTCTCCATTTCCCAACATTTTTGCTGCAGGCCAATGCAGGCCAGACCCCTGAGATTCGAGATTCAGGTTGTGCTGCCGTAGGAAGCAACTCTCAGCAGCTGGCTTTCTATCCCTGGTCAGATCGCCCTGAAGATGGAGTTAACACACGGGGAACCTCGCCGCCTATTATGGCTGGTTGCACAGTGACCCAGCACAGACAGATAGGAAACCCTATTTTTGCCCGAACTACCCGGGGGAATTGTGTGGTTTGTGTTCTCTCTCAGTGAACGTGGCTTTATAAACACTTAGGGGCTATTGGATGTTCCAGATCAGCGGTTCTCAAATTTGGTCCAGGGGAAGAACATCCAGAAATCATGACAGTCTTTATAAACTTTGCGACATATTGCTCTGTTAAACCTGAAGTAGCAGTACGTAGGCTTGTGGGCCAAGTCGGCTGACAGGATGCTTGACACCATTGGAAAGGGGGGTAGGTTTTGTTTAGTCCTTCTTAGGTGCCAGGCACTATGCTGGGTAACGTAACCAGTACTTAATTCAATTTTGAGGTCATGGGAAATGTATGGGAGAACATTCTGGAAATGGGAACCAGTGGGTAATTATCATGATTTTTGTGAGCTCTGGGAAAAGTTTCCTATGTTTGATTTCTGCAGGAGAAGCATTAGTGCCCCAAGAAGCTGAATTTAAAAACTGCTACTCCCCCACGGCCCACTTCTTTGCTCAGGTGTATGCACCTGTTCCTTTTCACTCCCAGGAAGGGACTAACATGTTTAGTAAATTCCTCATCACAAATACATGAGGGGAACAGGAATTAGTGACCTATTCTGGCCAAAGAGAACCGAAATGGAATGTCTGAAGCCAAGAATGTGGGTGGGAGGGGGGTTGTGGTTTACGGCCTCTGACTCCTGAGCCCTCCACTCCTTGACTCCCATGAGGACTTTCCCCTGGGCACCCCCTACCCCCAGCCTGCCGTGCCATCTCTCTCTCATCCTGCCCAGAGAGGGTCCCCACACGGCATGCTCCATGACTGGGGCTGGCTCTCCTCCTCCTGCAGCTGGGAAGGGACTGGTGGAGGCAGCTCACTTCTGCTACCTCGTGGCTCACGTGCCCTTCGGTCACTACACCGTGAAGACTGACCATCTGGCCTTGCTTGGCAGCAGTCACAGGTACGTGGTCTTCTGGGGATGGGAGTGGGAAGCATGTTTTCCAGGGGACTGGTTTAGCCCTTGCTGGGTTTCACGTTTTCCATTTTCCTGTGTGAATTTCAGCTAAAGCTTCTCCCCTCTTCTGGGTCTTTTCTGCAGGGGTCTGGGCAGGGAGGTGTCCAGTGGGTGCTGCATCACACCAGCAGGGGGCCCAGTCCTGCTCCCCAGAACTGTGCTCCTGTGCCTTTGGGGTGTATTGTGCCCCTCTGACCACTGGGTGGCACCCTGGCTCCATGACCAGAGGTCACCTCTTCTGACTTGTCTGAGCAGTCAGGGCGGCTTGCCTCTGTGTTACGCAGCCCTGGGCCTGTCTCAGAGTCGGCCCGGGCAGAACAAGGAAATTGGAAGAAGTTTATGTTTACTCCTTACACCCCTACACTGGCTTAGTGCACAAGCTACTCCAAGTCCCACCTGTTACTTATTCTTTGCTGGCCATCACATTAGGCTTTTCACGCAGAAGGATCTTAATAATCCCATAGGCAGTAAATAATATGGACAAAAAGACCAGCTTGCTTCCTAGCAGTCCTCCATGTTTTGGATCTCTCTTCTCCACACCCTGGTCATAGTTAAGATTTCCTAGGCTCTCTTACATGGTGCCAGTCATTTTATTTGCACGATTTCCTTTAATCAATACAAAGTTACCCTATCAATAAGGTATGTTTTAAATCTTCTCTTTGTATAGGAGGGAAACCAAGACACAGAGAGGTTAAATAATTTACCTAAGATAGCACAGCTAGCGTGAGGTCACACTGGACTTGGAACCCAGACCGTCAGGCTGAGAAGCCCTTACATTCATTCATTCATTCATTCGTTTATTTTTAGTTTAAATTCCACTAGCCAACATACAGTACATCATCAGTCTCAGAGGCAGATTTCAGTGATTCATCAGTTGCATATAACAGCCAGTACCCTTCACCCAGTTACCCCATCGCCCACCCACCGAAGCCTGTTAACTGTTGTGCCAAGCTGCCTACCTCTGGGGAACGTACAGTCTTACCGCCAGCTCTCTCCGATCGAGGCCTTTGATGGCATATAGTTGGCTTGTCACATCCCATCTGTGCCAAATGCGGCAGTAAATGTGTATGGGTTAATCCGTCTCCCTCTTATACTTGTATCGACCAAGGGCATTTCTGGAGGTAGCCAGGGGTGACCCTGATTTCAAAGACGGAGCTTTTTATTGGGGCATGTGGAGGGGTCTGGCAGCCCCTTGGATCACAGTTGCTCAGCCCGCTTCCTCCTTGGCTGAATGGACAGCCAGCACAGGGACTGTCATTTGATTTTTGGCCCCATGCCCGGCCACGCCTTCCTTTATCGGGGCTCTTGGGGTGCCGCATCACTCCCTCTTCTCTTTTGTTCAGGCCAGGTGTGGCCTCGTGCAGGTGCGCGGTCTAGGCCTTCAGGGCACTAGGTTAGCTCTCAGCATCTTTAAGAGGAGCACCCAGTGCCCCGCCGAGGTGGGAGGGGGAGCAGCTTGCCTTAGGGGACCCTCCCGCAAGAAGGTGGAGGAACCCGCCTTCCTGCCATCCCTGCTCCCCAGCCCGGGTGGTGCAGGACACCGTCCGTCCCATCCCCAGCCTCAAGGAGGTGGAGCGAGAGGAGGCAAAGCATTCACTCCGGAGGAGGCCCGAGTGTCTCTCCAGGCGGCGGCCCCCGGACCAGCCCAGGGCAGAAGCCCCACCGTGGATGGGGCAGCTGGAGTCGCCGCCAGGATGTCCCCGCCCCCCTCCTCAATTTCTTTTATTATTATTCCCTGGTTGTAGTCAAGAGTTTTTGAAATTTGCAACCACCGAGGCTATCCAGAGGACGGAAATCTTCGAGTACTGTCAGATGCTGGGCCGCCCCCAATCCTTCATCCCTTCTTTCCAGGTAACGGAACCCAGGGGAGGCCCGCAGCCGCCGCGTTTCCAGCTGTGCTCCTTGGCACGGAGGGCGGGGCCGGGTCCCCTGCGCTCGGAGCCCCCGCAGCTCAGGCGCAGGGTGCGGGGCGTGCTAGAGCCTGGAGGGCTGCCTGTAGGCGGCCGCCCTGCTGGAGGCCCGGAAAGCGCGCGCCCTGGGGCCCCGCTCTGCTCCCCTTGCCCCGGGCCGGGCGGGCGCCTGCTCGCTGCTGCCTCCCCTCGGCACCGCGGGGGCTCCCCGAGACGCCCCGGCCCTCGCCCTGCTTCCCGCCCCGCAGGGCTTTCGGCCGGCAGGGGGCGCGCGGGGCCCCAGTCTCTGCTCTGCGTCCTCGTCCTCGGGGGCGGCCCTCGGGCTTCTCCAGGGCCTGCTCCGGAGTGCGCGGCAACACACACGCTCACACCACACAGCACGCAGTCACACACCCTCACACCCCACAACACACACACACACCCACAACACATACACTCACATACATAATCACACCCCACAACACACACACTCACACCCCACACCCCACATACACACTCACACCTCACACTTATAGTCACACACACTCACACCCCACAACACACACACACACCCCACAACACATAGTCGCACTCACACCCCCCAACACACACACATACCCACAACACACACACACACTCACACCCCACACACCACATACACACTCACACCTCACAACACAGTCACACACACTCACACCCCACAACACACACACACACACCTCACAACACATACACTCACTCACACCCTACACCCCACATACACACTCATACCCCACAACACACACAGCCCACAACACATACACTCACTCACACCCTACACCCCACATACACACTCATACCCCACAACACACACGTACAGCCCACAACACATACACTCACTCACACCCCACACACCACATACACACTCACACTTCACAACACTTATAGTCACACACACTTACACCCCACAACACATAGTCACACACTCACACCCCATAACACACACACTCACCCCATTACATACACATTCACACCTCACAACATACACACTCACATCCCATATACACACTCACATCTCACAACACAGTCACACACACTCACACCCCACAACACACATAGCCCACAACACATACACTCACTCACACCCTACACCCCACATACACACTCACACCCCACAACATATACAGTCACACACACTCACACCCCACAACACAAGGCACAAAACCAAACCTTGAAAATGACTGAATTAGTTATGATAAGGGAAGTGACCCCATTAGTATCTTCTTCCAGTGTCTTACCGAAGACTGTCCTTCCCCGGCAAAGCCGTGCCAGAGCAGCTCCTTCCAGAATAGTCTTCTCATCTCTCCCTCATCTCTTTGGTCATCCCACCTTTCAGTCACCTCTGGGCTGAGGGTAAGGAGATTAGCGAGTTTTAGTAAGTGTGCTTTAGGTGCAGGCATTGTGCTCTTGTGTTTTTAGGGGATTGTTTCTCATCCCGTGAGGTGGGCACCATTACCCCCATTGTGCAAACGAACGGCAGCTCAGAGGAATTCCATGGTATTGGCTCACATCTCTTGCGTACCATTTGTTCTAAGACCTTTATGTGGTTTATCTAATTTAATCTTTACAACAACCCAGGGGTAAATCGTATTATTAGCCCCATATTATAGTGAGGAAATTGAGGCATGGGCAGGTGGGGTGACCAGGCCAATGTGGCACACCAGCGTGGAGCTGGGATTTGACCTTGGACCTGTCTGATTCCCAGAGCCTCATGCTCCGTCTTGCTCTGCCACGCACGCTTCTGCGAATACTTGCCGGCCCTGCGCCTGAGTCCTTTCTTCTTGAATATGTCCCCCCCGCTGGTGCCTGGTCCTAGGGTCCGCACCCACCAGGGTTTCCAGATGGGTGGGCTTCCTGGGAAGAAGTAAGTTGTCTGCGCATTTCCATGGCGACCGGGTCTCCTACGGAGACTGCGCTGATGTGACTCATCCCTTTCTCAACAATGCAGGACCTGCAGGCTGGATTTGAAATTGTGCCCATAGCCAGATAGAATGCCCCAGATAGGATGGCACGAGGCCCTCCTTGATATTTGGATGGCAGAGTTAGCGGAAGCCGGCAGTCAGCTGACTTCCAGGAAGTCTTATCTACATTTCTCTCCTTCTGTCCCGGCCTGGGTGGACGAGTCACTGGCCCTGTTCCTCTTCACAGGTGTATAAGCTCCTTTATGCTTCCCGTCTGGCAGATTATGGCCTCGTGTCCCAGGCCTTGCATTACTGCGAAGCCATTGGCACGGCCCTCCTTAGCCAGGAAGAGAGCGATCACCCTGTGCTATTAGTGGAACTCATCAAGGTGAGTTTCTCAAAGGGTTCTCTGCAGGTGTTTTATCTTCGGTGTTCAGAGAAAGCTATTGTAAAGCAGCTTAGACTCTGCATCCCATCTCTTTTGAACATGCTAGAAAATTGGAGCCCATGGCTGTCTTTGACCACATATGCATGCCCAGGTGTGATAAGCAGAGTCCTGACACCACACAAAGAAGCAGGCAATGGGCGGAGGGTGGTGGGATCGGGAGCCTGGAAACCAGGCGTGTGCTCTGCCAGAGACTTGTTCTTGCAACTGCTTTTCTGGGACAGTAAAACTGCACGTTATGGAGAACCGCTCTAATTATAAACTCTGGACTTAGAAAATATAGTTTAGTGATTAAAACAGGAAATGATCCTTATTAAAATGCTTTTAAATGCATGGAATATTTTATCACATGTGGGATACGTTTTAAAAAGAAAACAAAAACAAATCAACTTTTAGTTCCTGGGGAAGAAAACAATCAGGCAAATAGTTGTTCCAATTAACTAAAGAAAAATCCATTAGCTGGAGAGTAAAACAGCAGCCTACTGTCAATTTTTGCTTTGCTTTAGATGACTGTTGGATTCTGTAGCCAACCAATGTGTAGTGCTGGGCCCCCTGGCCCTGGAGTGTCCGCCCGCAGGCCGGCGGTTGCAGCGAGCTCAGGGACCCAGAATAGGGGGCCTGGGAATTTTGGGACTTAATGATGGAGTAGAATCTTGCAAGACAAAGTAGTCCCTCGACCATCCCTTGGAAGCTGGTTTGAAATGCAGACTTACCCCAAAGATACAGATGCAGTGAAATGCTGGGACACACTGCATAGCAGCAATGTCCACAATAGCCAAACTGTGGAAGGATCCTCGGTGCCCATCGAAAGATGAATGGATAAAGAAGATGTGGTTTATGTAGACAATGGAATATCACTCAGCCATTAGAAACGACAAATACCCACCCTTTGCTTCGATGTGGATGGAACTGGAGGGTATTATGCTGAGTGAAGTAAGTCAGTTGGAGAAGGACAAACATTATATGGTCTCATTCATTTGGGGAATATAAAAAACAGTGAAAGGGAAAAAAGGGGAAAGGAGAGAAAATGAGTGGGAAAAATCAGAGAGGGAGACAGAACATGAGAGACTCCTAACTCTGGGAAACGAACAAGGGGTGGTGGAAAGGGAGGTGGGCGGGGGTTGGGGGTGACTGGGTGACTGGGTGGCACTTGATGGGATGAGCACTGGGTGTTATGCTATATGTTGGCAAATTGAACTCCAATAAAAAAACAAAACAAAACAAAATAAAAATGAAATGCAAAAAAAAAAAAAAAAAAAAAAAAGAAAGAAAGAAAGAAATGCAGACTCTTTGGCCCTACTCAGAATTCTGGGATCAGAATTAGCATTTTAACAATAGCCCAGGCGGTTCCTGGGAGCACCAAAGTTCGGGAAGCACTGTTAGAGCAGACAGTTGCAGGGACGTAAAGCTGGGTAACGACAGTTTCTTCTTATATATCTTATTGACCATCTAACACCAAGATGGATTAATTGCTTATTTATGTTGCAATTTTGGGAAGGTAACTGCTGAATTGGCTACCCGTCAATTAATTATCCTTTGTAATCTAATTTGCAAAGGAGTTAACACTGTCCTTCTCTTATTCCCTTATTGCCTCTTTCCCCATGTCTCTTTCTCCTTGTCTCCTTTCTTACCTTCGCCCCTGACCCGGCTGGAAACCTGGCACAGCTAGCAGAGAAACTGAAGCTGTCAGACCCCTTGGTTGTAGAGAGACGCCGTGGAGACAGGGACCTGGAGCCAGACTGGCTGGTGAAGCTGCGCAGGCGGTGCAAGGAGCTAGCGGTGAGTGGGCTGGATCCGGGCCAGGGGCTGAGACCTTTGTTTCTCTCTTTGCTTCCCCTAGGACCCGGTAGCCAGGCACTGACCTTGGCAAATCCCCAACCCTGTGGTGGGCCGTGAAGTCCCCCTGCACCCACGAGGCACAGGTTGACCTGGGAAGGGATGGCACTCAGCCTCCCAGCCACTGCTCCCCTGACCCTGGTGGAAATGGTTTCCTGTGTCTGCCTGTGAGGCCCTGGGGCCCACTTGCCGATCTCCCTTGCCACCCTTCTCTGTGGTCCTAGAAGATGCATTTTATGACCATTAAAGCTTTCATCTCTCTGTTAGGAACAATGGATCACAGTGGACCTGTGTCACTTTCATGTAATGTAGGGCAATTGCTTAAAAGATTTCCAGGCCTTTCGTTTTTGTTCTGACAAGTGCAAAAGCTGCTGGCAGTAATTGTAACATAATTGGAACAGGGCTACCTCCATTCTCTTTCTGCCACCGTCTCTAAAGACAGGACAGGGTGGGGTTTCCAAGGCACCGGTGGCCTTACTCCCACCATGCCCCATGCACATGGGACCCTGGGCCCCACAGTTTGATCCCTTCCACTTTCCCTTTCTTGGGGAGACTATGGATGGCGTTGGTTTCCTGGTCCCTGCCAGCTCTGAGCAGGGCTGAGGCCTGGCTCCTGCTCTTGTGCCTCACCTAAGAGCCCTTGGCATTCAGGTGAGGCTCCCCTACCTCACCACTCCCTCTGAAGTTTCTTTTTTTTGAAGATTTTTACTTATTTATGAGAGAGAGAGAGGGAGAGCACACATAGGCAGGGGGAGAGGGAGAAGCAGACTCCCCACTGAGCAGGGAGCTCAATGCAGGGTTCGATCCCAGGATTCTGGGATCATGACCCGAGCCAAAGGCAAACACTTAACCAACTGAGCCACCAAGGTGCTCCTTGGGCTTAATTTTTAAACCATTGTTCCCTGTTCTTGCTTTTCTTTGTGTGGCTTAAAGAGATTTTACTTTATTTTGAATAGCACAAGGTAATAGGAGATGCTGCGGATCCTCATTCTGCTCACTCAGACACTTCGGGAGCCAGAGAAACAGCAGGTACCTGTGCCGATGACCTGACGTGTGAATGGCTGACCCTCAGGACCTGATATACGAGACACAGAAATGAGAAAACACCCGCCTTGCCCTCCCTGGAGCACGGCCTTGCCCATATAAATCTGATCGGTTGGTCCAGGCACCTTCTCTCCCTACAGCTCTGGCCCACATCAGGCATCCTGACCCTTCGAAGTTCCCTCATTATGGGAGTTTCTGCCTCACATTCAGGCTTTCAGACTCATTGTAGCATGTTGTGATCTCACGGTTTCGCCAGCCCTAGTAGCTTCTTCCCAGCTGAATGTATTTCTTGAGGCCACAGATGGTGGATTGTTCATACTTCATGTAGGTGTTGGGGACATCGGAAGATTGATTTTGAGCTATCCTTTTTGAGTTTTGAGCATTCAGTTGCTACACACAGGCACCGTACATTTCACGATGTTTTCTTTTCTTTTTTCTTTTTTTTAAAGATTTTATTTATTTATTCATGAGAGACGCAGAGAGAGAGAGAGGCAGAGACACAGGCAGAGGGAGAAGCAGGCTCTATGCAGGGAGCCTGATGCGGGACCCGATCCCAGGTCACCAGGATCACACCCTGGACTGAAGGCAGGCGCTAAACCGCTGAGCCACCCAGGGATTCCCCCATTTCACGATGTTTTCAACACATCCCTCCTTTCCCTTCAGGCTCCCTCTGGGCATTGGGTTGGGGAGAAAGTATTACCCCCAGATGGTTCTGTGCCCAGCTACCCCCCTCCTCTGGTGGGGTCAGGACAGGGCTTCATCTCTTTACTTCTAGCCCTTTCCCACCCTTTAGCACTTCCTTCACTGGTGAGCAAGGGGAGGGCAAAGAAGGCAGGCCTTGGTTTCTGTTTCTCAGCTTTGCTGCTCTGTCATGGAACCTGTGAAGGTCAGGACTGGAAGGGAACCAGGCTGGGAGTTTTTGAATGATGTTTCTCCTAGGAAGCAGCTATGTCTCTTGTCACCCAGTTGAGCATGTGGGTCAGCAGCACCCCAGCCCCATGACCTTGGGCCGATCACGGCCCGTGTCTAGACCACGGTCCATCTCATCGGCCACATGGAGGAATGCAGCCATGCTTGCTTCCAGGGCCGATGCTCCGACTCTTTAAAAGCAAGCCCATCATGTCTGTGGTCTGATTCAGGTTTTCACTGGAAACTCTCTATGTTTCAGACACCCAAATCCGTTAGGAAATCCTTTTTTAAAAATATTTTTTTATTCATGAAAGAGAGAGAGAGAGAGGCAGAGACATAGGAGGAGGGAGAAGCAGGCTGCCTGCAAGGAGCCTGATGACCAGAACCCTGGGGTCATGACCTGAGCCAAAAGCAGATGCTCAACCACTGAGCCACCCAGGCGTCCCAGGAAATCCTTTAAAGGAGAAAGCTTATCCAAAAGCAAGAGTGTGGTGTTAAATGAGGTGATACTATCTCTTCTCCCAATATGCTTGTTTAAGGCTTGGAGATCATACATGGTAGTGAGGGAAATCATTTTGTAAACTCTAAGTCATAAGCAGTGAGAGATGTTACATCACACTCATGGCAGCCACATCAAGCGGGCTATCTCTGTGACTTCTTTCCAAAGGGGGCATGGGCAGGAATGGTCCTGGTGTGATGGGTCCATTCCGATGCCACATTGCAGGTCTCAGTTCCTCCTTTTGCTCTATGTCCTCAGAAAGCACTTTCTACCATGATCTTTCGGGACATCCAAGCGACTCAGAAGCCCTTGGGGACCGCTCAGCCTTGTGGCCAACACTGGAGCAGATGGGCCCAACCCAGCCCAGCCCACAGCAGCCCTTTCTCTACCAGCCCGGCTCCCACCCAGCAGGGGGAAGTGTGGGGCAGATGGGTGTCCCAGTGCCTCTTTACTCGGTTGCCAGGACCAGTGGTAGCCTGGCAGAGGTAGTAACTCCTGGAGGAGGAACCTGGGAGGAAACCCAGCAGATGCACCCGCCCCCTGGTAAGAGCTGTCAGGAAGGCTGGAAACCTGGGGGCGGGGGTGGGGTGGGGTGGGGGGGCGCGCTTTGAGGGGAGGAAGGAGAAGAGAGAGGTGGGGTCAGAGCCGATAAGCCCTGAATGGTGGGTGCGGGCCCCACGGAGGGCCTACTACTCAGCAGCCCTGGGGCTGGTACTTTGCATGCCCCGGAGGGACATTGTTCCCTTCCTTTGTGGTCTGCCTCTCCACTGGGAAAGCATAACAAGGCCAACAATAGTTACTGTCCCTCCTCTCAGATGCAGAGTCCCTAGAAGAGAGGAAGGAGAATGACAGGGACATGAAGCTGTCATACTGCACCTGAGAGCTCACTGTCAGGGGTTGCTAGCAGAGACCCACTCTTCTGTCCTGCCCCCAAATGAGGTGATGGGAGACAGAGGGGCTTGATGTCAGGGCCCTGATGAGCAGGGCTGAGTGATACCAGGGGAGTGCTGGCAACCAAACAGGAGGATTAGATCTTAGACCTTCTAAGATAATGTCCTGTCCAGGACAGGAGGCTCAAATGGAGGGGAAGGTCAGGAGGATCCCTGTGTGGCCCTGGTTTCCAGGATTCTGAAGGAATGGACTTGGTTCTAAGTAGAGATCAGGTGACCAGCATGCCTTGGGGTGGCTGGGATCGAGAGGGTTGTGCATGTGGACTTGGCTTTTACGTGACCCACTCGGGATCATGGGCTTGGACCTCCAGCTACTTTGTGATTAGAAAAGCTGACTGCGTCCCCTTCCTTCCTCAGGGTAGAAGGAAAAAGCACAAGCTCCAATCACTGTGTTTGTTTGTGTTTTGTGTCATAGTAGAGAACATGGTATCTCCAGGAAGTTTCCAGCATCCTGATGGTCAAAAGGTCGTTTCCAAACCGCAGGTGAGAGGACAAAGCACAGTGGATGCCAATGCCTACTCTGATGCTTCAGGCTTTCTCCAGTGGCCCAGACTTCTTAGCCTTCCTCCTCCTGGCTCTAGCTGTCCCTTCCACACTGTACCTTGTTTCTTCTCGTTTCTTTCTATGCCACATCTTGGTGGTGGGAAGGGGGGCCATGTTTTTGTTCATATTCAATCCTACCAGCCAGTGTCCATGGGGTGAGGGGCGGCAAGGCCGAGTTTCCTTTGGGCCTTAGAGACCTCTCACATCCTCTCCTCGCCTGGCACCAGGCACCACCATGCCCCGCCCTGTCATGGGAGACTCTGGATGTTTATGTCTTTATTGTAATTTTTACCTCACTGTTTTCTCAAGAAGGATCAATGGCAGCTGTGTCTTTTCTCCTCAGGCTAGAAGGCCGTGGAGGATGTGGCTCTGTCTCACAGATCAGGCTAGCTAGCTTCCCAATGGATGCACCCTTCTGCCAACAATGGGTATTTGAGCTTTGCCTGGCTTGAAGGGTGCATTGCATACCTTTGATCACATAAATAGTGGCCACTTTGTATACATGTCTCAAGTAGTAGGTGCTGCAGGACCTCAAAAACTTCCATGCTTTCCTTTTTTTTTCTGACTGAAAAAGTAGTACATTATTGTTATAAAAAACTTAAAAAAAAGAAAAAGCATCATAAATAATCACATATCACTCATGTTTCTAAATGTGTATATAAAATTTTATTTCATTTTGTTAACACTATTAAATGAGGTTTTCCATATCATTCATAAATGATTTTTAGTTATTTTTAATTTTTATTTCATTTATTTTTCAAATTAATTCTTTTTATTTTATTTGAGAGAGTGAGAGCGAGCGAGCACACGAGCAGAGGGCAGAGAGCAGAGGCAGAGGGAGAAGAAGCAGGCTCCCTACTGAGCAGGGAGCGCAACGTGAGGCTCAATCCCAGGAGCCTGGAATTACGACCTGAGCCAAAGGCAGATGCTTAACTGAAAGCAGTCACCCAGGTGCCCCCACAAATGATTTTTAATATTGATAGATAAAATCCATTGTGTGAAAGCACCATCATCCATCCATACATCCATTCATTCATTCACAAATCCCAAGTTCCTACAACGAATGTCCCCAGCATGATCCCTGGGGACACCCAAAAACCAGACCAAGCTTGTTCTCATGCCCTTCTGTTTAGTGGAGTTGATGGCAAATAAACAACTGTGTGCATGCAAGGTTTTACTTTAGATGGGGTGGCCAGGGAAGGTACCCCTGGGAGGCCTTGATCAGAGGCCAGAATGAGGGCAGACTAGAGCCAGGGGAATGAGCGTGCGAGGTGTAGGGAATAGCAACAGCACAGGCCCTGAATGGGACCGACTTGGTGCAGGGAGCAAAGAGCAAGGGACCCATTGTGTGTAGAAAGTGGGGAGAGTGGGCTGAGAAGCAAGGCCAGAGCTGTAGAGAGAGGCCGGATCACACAGGGCTTCCTAGGCCACAGTGAGGAGCTCCAGGTTTCGTTCATCCTTCCCACATGGTTAAACATTTCAAGTGTGTCTCTCTTCCTTTTCTCTCTTTCCTCCTCTCTCTGTGAATTCCCTTCCCTTCCCCTCGTGTATAAAATCCAGTGGTGGGCGTTCTAGTGATGGACGCGCAAGCCTTGTCTATTTCTTGAATTATGCAACCAGGAAAAATTCCTAGAAGGAGAGTCCGACTGCTTAGGTTTGGATCCTCGCTCTGCCATGTACTGGCTGTGTGGCCTCAGACAGGTTGTTTAATCCGTCTGTGTCTTAGTTTTCTCATATGTAAAATAGGATGATAATAACCCACCTCACAGGACTGTTGTAAGGATTAAATGAATCACTCTACATAAAGTGCTTAGAATAGAATTTACTACATATTAAGTGCTAGACTCAAAAATTGAAGCTTTTTCAATTTTGGGGGAAAGTATTTTCCAAAGGTTGTACCGATTATGCTTTTTTTTTTTTTTTAAATATAAAATGTAAATACACTAACATTTACATCACACAAATATCATGTGATTCTGCATATAGGAGGTACCTAAAAGAGGCAAGTTCATGGTCAGAAAGAGTAGAGATTTCTAGGGGTTTCTGAGGAGGAAAAATGAAGAGTTAGTGTTTAGTGGGCAGAGAGTTTCAGTTGAGGTCAATTAAATGTTCTGGAAATGGAGATTAGTGGTGGTTATATAACATTGTGAATGTACTAATGCCACTGAATTATACACTTAAAGATGGTTAAATTGGTGAATTTTATGCTATATATATTTTACCACACACACAAATCTAAAGGCCCATGGGCATATTTTGCTTCCCACTGGTGCATTTTGCAGTTGATCGTGAGCAATTTCTCTGGGAATGAGCTCTAGGATGAATTAGGGTCGGTGGTTGGGTGTGTGGATCCCTATGGGGTGTTTCCTATCCCACCTCTTCTCCACCAGGAGCCTTCCACATCCTCTGCTCCAGGACTCAGCACAGTTCTGGAATGCTAACGCGGGGAGGTAACACTGGCCTAAAAGCCCATCAGATTAGGGATGACACAAGGACTGGGATTGGGTTCTGGCCTTGTCTTGAGGCCTTCAGCACATTATTTCGCAGAGCTAAGCCCTCTTTCCTCATCAGTAAAATGTGATCCTGTAAGGCCATCCCACAGATTAACTGAGTGGGGCTGGTGACAGAGAACATGTGACTTGCCTTCATAACCTGTCAAGTGCCATAAAAACGTTAGTTCTTATTTTCTTTAACTCCAGGAGCCACTGATTCCCAGATCACGAAATACTTCTGAGAGTTCCACTTCTTCAGTCAAGGAGGAGGAGGAGGAGTCTTCCGATGAGGCAGATAAAAAATCTTCCCAAAACCCGACACAGAAAGGAAAACTAGGAGATGTGAAAGAGAACACAAAGGTGGAGGGTCTCGTTCTGTTGCCACTGTTCCCTTTCCAAATGATGGTGGTGGGGTGGGTAGGGTTGGGAATCTGGGCTTTGGCTGGGCCTCTGACTCTCCACCATCATACTGGAGTGGGCCTGTCTCCTAGTCAGTGGGAGAAGCACACCTGGAGGCCTTAAATCTCCTTCTTTCCCTTCCAGAGCTCAGGGTTTGGCTGGTTCAGCTGGTTTCGCTCAAAGCCCACCAACAACGCATCTAGCTCTGGAGAAGACTCATCCGACAGTCCCAACTCTGAGGTTAGCATGAGGGTGTGAGGGCAAGGACTCTTCCTCACTTGTGGGATCTTTGGAGGAAGTTTCCTCAGAACCTTTGAGGCCCTGAGCTGGCATCTGGCAATCGGCAAAGGCCGGCTGGGTCTTAAAAATCAGGATGGAGAATATTAATTTTAGGAGGCCAGTAGTTGACTATTGAGTAGAAGAGTGGCACTAGAGTTTTGGGGTGGCAAGTGGAGTTTCGGGGTGAGTACCCAGCAGCAAGGTCAGAGGTTGAGGCTGCAGTTGTGGGCACTGTGGGAATAGGGGCAGCTGGCATTTGGTAACAGTCAGTACCCCTAACACTGCCTGTCTTTCTCCACTATGCAGGAGACCTCCAGAGTATCTTCTCCTCCTGAGGCTGGCCCCGGCCTCTCACTGACCTCTCTCCCAGCGCCCCAGTCTCTGCCAGGCACCAGCACCTTGTCTGGGGCCACAGGTAACACCAACCTCATGTCCTTTGGGCTGTCTCTGGGCTCCCTCTCCTCCTCAGGTATTGGGGGTGCCTTCTGGAAGTGGAGCCTCCTCCGCCCTGAGCAGTGGAAACGGCTCTGTCTGACTCATTGCTTTCTAGGCGAGGGTGAAGTCGGAGGATCAGCATCCAGTGGGGGAGCAGCCGAGGGCACTGGGAGTGGAGTCCTGTCTGGGCCTGAGGTGAGCAGCCCACAGGCTGGAGCCTGGGGCCCAACCAGATGCCTGTGTGTGCCAGGACTGAATATTCATTGTGGGCTGGAGGTGCCATCCTATGAGGGACTCATGGGGAACTGGAGAAAGCTTCTGTAGTAGTCCGCCAGGGCCATCATGACGAAATGTCACAGACTACAGCTTAAACAAAGTTATTTCCTCACAGCCCTGGAGGCTGGAAGTCTGAGGCAGGGGTTGGCAGGGTTAGTTTCTCCTGAGGCCCCTTTCCTTGGCTTATAGATGGCCATGGTTTTCACATGGTTTTCCCTCTGTGTGCGCCTGTGTCCAAATTTCCTCTTCTTATGAGGACACCTGTCATAATGACTGAGGGCCCTAGTGACCTCATTTTACCTTAATAACCTCTTTATTTAAAAAATTTTTTTCAAGGTTTTATTTTAAAGTAATCTTTACACCCAGTGTGGGGCTTGAATTTACAACCCCGAGATTAAGAGTCACATGCTCTACTGATTGAGCCAGCTGGGTGCCCCCTTAATCACCTCCTTAAAGACGCTACCTCCAAATACATTCGGGAATACTGGGGTTACAATTTCAACATAGGAAGTTTCAAGGAGACATAATGTAGCCCATAATGACTTCTCCAGGTGAAGTCTAGAGAATTGCTTCTTTCCCTGTCCCAGAGTTCACCAGTGTCTTTGGCAAGGACTGTAAAAAGTTCTTGATGAATTGTCCACACGGTATGGATTTCATGCCGACTGCCAGGAAAACATTTTTATTTTCTTATGGTTGGGTTAGAGCACTCTTGTAGTATTTTAGGCCTTCCAGAGAATATGATATTACTTTTTATGATGCCACCAATATAACTGTGGCTTTTTCTTCTTCTGAGCTTTAGGCATTGCCTCTGCATTGCCTCTGCATCACCACCCCAGACCCAGGGGTTGGCGGTGCCCACTTGAATCATGTTTGTTTGCTTAAATTCCCCAAGGTCTATCAGGAAACCCTTTTCATCTGCATCCCTTGACCAAAGTTAACGCTCAGGGAAGCCCTTGATGTTCTGGAATCAGAAGTGGTGATTGATAGGGTTTTTCTATTATTTTCCATCACAGGCTGTTTCCTCTGAGCTTTATTTCAACCCTGGTGTTCTGCTTCCCCCAACCCCTTTGAAAGGAAGCGTTCCTCTCTACAACCCATCTCAGGTGCCCCAGGTAAGGGATCCCTGAAGGAGAGAGGTTAGGAGCACAAATTTTGGATGAAGGCGATCCAAGGTTTCAATCCTAGTTTGCCACTTACTGTATGTGGGCTCTCGAGCAATCACTTACCGTCTGTAAGACTCAGTTTCTACATCTGGAAAGTGGGGTAGACAGTAGCTACTTCAAAGTGTAGGTGTGAGGATTAAATGGGAGCATGTGTGTGAAGGGCCTCACACACAGAAAATGCTCAATGTCACTATTATTAATACCACTCTTGCCCTTTCACAGGTCTTGAGTCTTTGAGAGACACATAAGTGTTGGTACCAATGGTGTGGAGATACCATCACTCCATCCTGGGGGTGAGGGGATCATTGCAAACTTTGAGAAAAGCTAAACTTCCTGCTCTTCAGTGACTTGGGGCAGACTGACTGCTCTCATGTACTCATTTGGCCTCTCCTCTTCATAAAATTGAATTTCTTTTGCCATATTTAAGAGGTGAAGGTGTTGGGTGAAAGTAAATAATTAGAATATCACCACAGGAAGCCAAATGCAGCTTGAGTGTTTTAGACTCAGGATGCCCTAACTCAGTCCAACCAGCCAGCCCTAGATGGAGTCCTTCTTGGGGCTAAAATTTCATGCAACATTTGTTCTGTTCCAGCTCTCCATGGCTACCAGCCTGAACCGACCGAATCGCCTAGCTCAGCGCCGCTATCCAACCCAGACATGATGAGAATGGTCACCCATCCCAGGCTGGTCTCCTTCCTTGATCTGCAGCCCCTCTGCCATATTGGGCCCCCCAAAAGAGTCATGCTGGCCTATTGCCTCTACTAGGACAGGGTCTTCCAGGACACAGCTCAGTCCAGTCTCTTAACATTAGCTTCAGAATGATGGCTGGTACTACATGGGCTGGATGGAAAAGCTGGGTAGAACAGCAGACTGGAGGGGAGCAGAATGCCATGGTGGGAGTATTCAGGGTGACAGCCTCAGATCCTCAGGAAAGTCAAGCCTAAGAACCCCTCAGCTGGAATCAATGATAACCCACTGGGCTCTGTGGCAGGCAATTATTTGGGGGAGGTGCCCAGAGCAATTTTCATGACTAACGTTGACACATTCCTCAATCTTAGTTCTATACCAATTCACGGCTCTAGTTAGCAAAGTTTATATACTGAAACTTGATTATTGCTTCCCGTCAGAACTCCCTCCTCAGTGACATTTCAGCAGTTTCCCTCTTGGTCCTAGTTTTGTGCACATTTTTATGTGCTTCAGATTAATTATATTTCTCTCACTTTCTTAGCTGGTCCTATTTTTTCACATTCTGGCATCTGGCTATCAAGTTAGATTGCTGTAGGCATCATATTGTCATGGTAACTACCGAACCTAATGATGCAGATGGATGGAACATCAGTATAATAAATGATGGGAAATGTTTCCTAAAAATTCACCCCTTCCTTAAGAGAGGAGGAGGAGTGCCTGATAGTGTTAATACCACCCTTCCTACCTCAGGCTTTTGCAAATGGATGTTTGGAGGGTCGGTGCAGCCAGAGGGAGGAGGGGGACATCTTGGAGATTTCCAGTTCTCTTTTCAAACCCAAAATAGGGATGACTCTTGCTGTTTGTCAGATTTGCTGCAAATTGCTCCTCACAAAGAACATTTTTTTCTATCTGTAATTGTACATACAGGTTTTGTACTCTAATGTACTACAGTTCTGATGTGGATAGCGATTAAAACAGATGATTTTATAGCAAATGCTTGTCTCTGGCTGATTTTTGCAGAGGGAGAGAGCACACTGAACACACTCTTCCCTGAAGTGCTTCTAATAACGGTTTCATTGTGTGATAAGGTGCGTGCAGCTGGAAAGAGCCCTTTGTTAATGGAGAATCTGGGGACTGATCCTCTTAACTTCCAAGTCTACTCTAATGTTATTTTTTCAATTTAGAAAATATGGACAAAAGCGCCTCTGATGCAAATCAGTCACTCCATTAACTAAATACTGCATTTTCTGTTCTCTGAAAAGTTTATTCATCTCTCAGATTAAATTAGGAAATGTATGCATAAGTGTTTTTTGGACCAAGAAGGCCCTCGGTAAATGCCGTTTCCTTACTTCCCCTAAAAGACAGCTGCTCCTGCCATTTGGTGTGCTGACATCCAGTGGTGGCATGATGGTGGCAGCGTGTGAGTTTCAGAGGAACCAAGTGGTTTCAACTTGGATCTCAGTGGATTCACAGTTCATCTCGTAACCTTGAGCAAGGTTATGTAACTGTCCTGTGGTTTAGTTCCCTCAACTATAAAATGAGGATGCTAATTACGATAGTATGATAGTCCCTACCACATAGGGACATCCAAGAATTAGTCAAAGTCTTAGAAAAGCACCTGCTACATGCTACCGCTAGATGAGGGGTTTTCTTTTTTTTTCTTTCTTTCTTTCTTTCTTTCTTTCTTTCTTTCTTTCTTTCTTTCTTTCTTTCTCTTTCAAGATTTTATTTATCTGAGAGGGAGAGTACACAAGGGAGCACAAGCAGGGGGAGCAGCAGCTGGAGAGGGGGAAGCAGACTCCCCACTGGACAGGGAGCCCAATTCAGGACTTGATCCCAAGACCCTGAGATCATGACCTGAGCCCAAGGCAGCTGCTTCACTGACTGAGCCACCCAGGTGCCTCTATATATACAAGTGTTCTTAAAAAATTATTAGTAAACAACCTAATAGGTACAGTATAGACTGCCTTGTTGCCTACCAAATTAAACTCTGGGTCTTTCATTCACAGTATAGGTAATGGAACAGTAATTTAAAACTACTTCTTGGGGCACCTGGGTGGCTCAGTCAGTTGAGCGTCAGACTCTTGGTTTGGGCTCAGGTCATGATCTCATGGTTGAGCCGTGCATCAGGCTCTGTGCTCTGTGGGAAGTTTGCTTGAGATTCTCTCTCCTCCCTTTGTTCCCCCCCTCTGCTCACAGGCACTGTCTACTAAATAAATAAATCTAAAAAAAAAAAAAAATCCCTACTTTTCAATAGGTGTCCTTATTACCAAGCTACTTTCTCTTCCTGCATCCTATCTGCCACCAATGCTAAGTCATGTGGCTTAGTGCCCCTGGGAACAATGACAGGAGAAGGTCAACCCCATAAAAATAACCTCTTTAGAGGAGAGTGAGGACCAAAGAGGAAGGCAAAGAATCAGATGCCTGGGTACTCACTTCCTCCCCCCATTGGAATAATTCCTGCAAAATCAGTGACTGAAGCATCACCAGAGTCAGCACTGAGCTGAGTTACTTCCTAGGCAAAGGGATATGCAGCAGTGAACAATGTTTCTGAGGGCAACTCAGGGGGCTTTATGCACTAGAAAGGGAGGAGGTCATGATTTTTATGCTAATTCTCGATTGACAGCTCGTGCTCTGCAAAGTCAGGCACATCCATTAATCTATATATGGTTGGCTAAAACAAGTCCTGTTGCTCCTTGGGCAGGAGACAGCCCTCAGCTGGGTGCAGGAAGGTCTGATGAACCGGTCACTCAGAGTTCTTGGTTGTTTATCAGCTTTTTTTAGTGGTGGTGATGGTGGTGAGTTTGCTAAAGGTCCTGATCGTTTTACAGCTTCAGCTGGCAAAAGCCAGTTGTGAACAAAAGTGAGTGCAGCTGTGAGCAGGAAGCATTTGGTTTTCTTTAGAAGGTGAAAACTTGGGGGGAGCAGAGCAGGTTGTGAGCAGAGCTGCTGGGATGGGGAGCCTGAGAGCACGGGGCTTGGGGTCCCCCTCATCCTCAGGGAAGGCCACTTGAGCAGCTGGCCTGGAGGAGCAGTGGGCCCGGCAACCTCCAATGTGGCTGGAGAGTCATGGCAGCTTGGCCTCTGGGATGGTCCTGGCCTGAGACAGAGCTGCTAGCCCCCTGCAGCCTGGTGTACGTGGATGCCTGCAGGGAATGACTGCGCAGTGTCCCTAAGGGTCACGGGGAGCCAGTTGTGCCCCAGCAGACCCAGGTCAGGGCTGGGCCAGAGCAGCCACCCGCCCTGTCAGCCGTAGGCCTGCTTTCCCACCACCGGGAGCCATGTGGGGAGAGAGAACAAGCCGAATTCTCTAAGGGAAGCCTTTACCAACAGACACTGCTTGAAAGAGAAGAGCCTGAGACATTATCAGTTGGCAAGTTTGTTTTCTCCTCCTCTTCAATGGGGTGTGAGCTTGGAGGAAGAAACGGAGAACAAAGATGCTACATTTGCCTTAAACTGAGTGGTGAGATGTGCAAACTCAAGATCCCGGAATATGCGTATAATTTAATATTTATATGAAAACACTTAAACTTAATGTTCAGTAATTTGGAAGAGAACAAACCATTAAATTCCATTTACGTGTCTTTATCACATATCACCATTCCAGGCTTCCGTCTAATCCCCTTATATGGCTGTAAAATTGCAAACCAGCCCAGCTTCCTCAGCCACCTATACATCCTCCCCTTTCAGCCTTAACTCAAGCTTCAGGGTGCTCAGGATCAAAGCCTCTGGCTGCAAGCGTTTCTTCCCCCTGGAAATCTTTTTTTTCCTCTTTGCTCTCTTCCTCTGGGTAACCAAGACGGAGAGCAAGAGACCGCATCCACCTCTTCACTAAAATCAGAATATTTTCTTCCCAAGAGGAAATATGCAAAACAGTCTACTGCTTGAAGAGAACAATAGGTATGTAATTAGGGTCTGGGCACTCACAGAAGTTCTCCGGGAGAGTGGAAGGGAAGAGACTTTTCTCCTCTTCTGTTTGCCATCGTAAGCTGGAAATTGCAAAGAGGATGATCGGCACACCGTAGGATGCTGGGCACTCACCTGAGTTGGCCGCTAAACGTGGTCCCCAGCGCGGGCGGCTCTCGTGAGTACTTGAACAAGGCATCATCCTTTCGGGGTCCTCCAGAAATGGTTTCGTAATGAGATGTGAAGTTATTTTGAGTGAGGATTAACAGCGTATTAAAATGTTTTATTACAATCTCGCTAAGTAGAGGAATCTGCTTTCCGTACTTTCTTCCTTTTTGTATGAATCTCCAGGTAATAGCTCTTCACCGGAACTAGGTGAGCAGCAGCCCAACTGGACTGACCTAATGCTTGTTCCTTGCAAGTGAGGTGCTTTCCTGGTCTTTATCTATCTTAAGAGCCGATTAAGTATCCAATTTTTAAAGAATCCCAAGATAGGGGGATTCCACGACTGCCCTTGAGGCAGCCCAGACTTTCACACCCTTGAACATTAGGAAATCATCCCTAATACTTTATGCCCAAATCACTCATGTGGCTCTTTAAGACACTCGGCTGGTCCTCAGCAGAGATAGAGAACAGCTGCTTCCTACCACCTGTGCCCAGAGCTCTTTCACGTTCTGGAAGGCCATTAAATTCAGTCTGAGCTTATGAAATGAAGGTTCACAAAATGGGGTTTTCTTGCCTAAAATTGGGGATATAACTACCTAAAAGCTTGGAGTTTCCTGGTAGTTACAATTGCCAGGCATCCTGAATTCAATAATAGTAATAGTATTGGGTACTTTGCGTCAGGTACTGTGGTATGGATCCCATAAAGTGTCTAGTATTTTTTTTTAAAGAACTATTTTTAAATTTTTATTTATTTATGATAGTCACACAGAGAGAGAGAGAGGCAGAGACACAGGCAGAGGGAGAAGCAGGCTCCATGCACCGGGAGCCCGACGTGGGATTCGATCCCGGGTCTCCGGGATCGCGCCCTGGGCCAAAGGCAGGCGCTAAACCGCTGCGCCATCCAGGGATCCCAAAGTGTCTAGTATTATTGTAACATATGATAGGTGGGGAATCTGGAAACTCCAGAGAAATTAAGCAATTTGTCCAAAGGCACACAGTTGGCAAGGAGGGAACTGGGGTTAGAATCCAGGTAGTCTGAATCAAGTGCTCCGAATCTGGGCTTTTAGTCACATTGTCCCTGGACACACATACATACATTTATTTGCTCCATTATTCATCAAATATTAACTGAATGATGTTTCAGGCACTGTACTGCTTTCCCAACAAAATACTTTTGACACTTAAACTACTCATTGTCTACTGAGGGAGACAGACACATAGACATAGAAATTACTACATAATGTAAGAACTTTTATACTTAAAAACATGTTCAAAGAACTTAGTACTTTGATATCCCTTAATAATGTAGGGGTTTCATCTATTGATATAACTTAGGGGCTTAAATGTAATATGTTCAAATTGTACCACCTCTCGTAGGCTAAGATCAAAGGTCAGTTCACTGCTTGTGTATACGAGAGCAAATCTGTTAGCTAGGTGTTTTTTTTTTTTTAAGATTTTATTTATTTATTTGACAGGGAGAGAGAGCGCGCACGTGCGAGCTCCCCAAGTAGGGGGAGTAGGAGAGGGAGAAGCAGGCTCCTGGTTGAGCAGGGTGCCCCACATGGGGCTTGACCCCAGGACCATGACCTGAGCTAAAAGCAGACACCCAACCGGCTGAGCCACCCAGGCACCCTGTTAGCCAAAGTTGTTATTTTTTTTTTTTTTTTTGTTTTGCCAAAGTTTAAAGCGGCACTTAGGATAGGTGTGCAGGAAGTCTGAGGAACAAGAGAAATAGTGCACTGTGATCACAAGGACCATGGAGCATTGGCATCTGAAAGAGAGAATCTGATTTAGACTTGCCAAGACTGCCACGCAGAGTCCCCTCTGGCTTCTTCCTGCCCTTTGCAGGATTCTGAAGCAGGAAAAGACTGAGTATTGCAGGGGAACTCTGCAGAGAAGGGTG